CAGAAACCACTTGTTCAAGATTCAGAGCTCGTTTTACTGGCCAACCTCCAAACACCAGGCACCCTTTTACATCGTAAAAGGGATGTTGGTATCTGGTTTTCATTTTTGAATAATTTTCTCCACATATAATGACCTCAGAAAAGAACAGTTCCCCCACCCCACTTCCTCACTTGTAGTAATAAAAATACTTCAAATTTAAATAGGCAAGGCTGCCGAAACTTCACAATTGCACACATTATGTTGTACTTTTGATTAGAAAATGCAATTACATTTATAGTGTTATAATCTCACCTGCCTTTGTGTTTTGAGGAAACTGCAAAAGAGGTCATCTTTTGGACCAAGCTGCCTTTGCCAAATCATGTCTCCTTAAACTCTCATTGTATTTGAGTTAGTAAAGAAACAATTGTTTTTCAGAAGTATTCTGTCAGTCAGCCACCACTGTGATAAAATACCTGGAGCGATAAATTTGCAAAGAGCAAAGGTTTGTTTTTGGCTCATGGTTTCAGAAGTTTCAGTCTATGGTCGCTTGGCTGTCATTTTGTGCCTGCAGTGGGGTTTTAATACATCACAGAGACATGTATCAAAGCCAAGGTGCCGACCACACTGCACTCAGGAAACAAAAAGAGACAGGCAGGGGCTGGAATCCTAATATTCAACTCAAGGGCATGACTCAGAGAACTAATTCCCCTGTACTAGACACTTCCTCCCAGTAGTGCCATGGGTTGGCCCAAGTCTCCAATACATAATCCTTGAGACACATCCAAGATCTAAACTATAGCAAGTACTCAACGACTGTACTCTATAATGCTGATTTTTCAAAACATGTTCCTGTCCCCTTCTTGTACTGTAGCATCCGCCCCTCTGTGCTACCTATGGATTGTACAGTCCAAGATCCTGACAGACATCTGAAACTGTGTCTAGTACTAAACCATATATATATATATATATATATATATATATGTTTTTAAAATCCTTATACATTCATACCTATGATAAAGTCTGTGAGTTAGTCTCAGAGAGAGATGAACAATAACTAATAAAAATGGAAAGGAATTTTCCATTTAATACGCTTAGACCACAGAAACTGCAGATAAAGAAACAATCAAATGTGGCATCTGTGTATAACAGAGTTCATCCCCTCATGTCCAAATTCTGTTTTCCATTGTTTTCTTTCACTCAGTTACTTGTTCATTCATTGCACTTTATAATTGACAGTAGGTATCATTTTAGGCACTGGAAGTACAGAGTTTAAAGGGTAGGTGCCATGATCTTCAGCTCATAGTTCTTGGATAAGTAAAGAAACAAGAGCTGGTGTGACTGGGCTCAGAGAGATAAATAATATCAAGGTGCTGGAGGAGCCTAAGTGAAAAGCCCTAACCCAATCTGGAGTAACGGATGACAAGTTAAGGCAGATTTCTAGGATGAAATGATGTTTGAGTTGAATTTTGAAGGTTTGTATAGAAGGAAGAAAATGGTCAGACCAGGAGAGAGGACCAAACACTGGGAGAAGTGTGTAGAAGCCTGTAGGGATGGGGCTGTACATGGGATTTGCCAATTAGTTCAGGATGATTGGCACACAAAAGGCAAGGGTGAGGGTGTGTGCACTGGAAGTAAGAAGTGGAAAAACACGAAACTGGAGAGACAAATAGAGCACAGCTGAGTCTCCGATGCTTCCATGTAGGAAGTAGTACAGAAAGCTCCATGAACCACTGACGTTTTTATCAGAGAAGTTACACAGATTTGTGTTCCATCAAAAAATGCCTCTGGCTGCAGTGTTGAGATGGAAGCAAGGAGACAACTTTTTTAAAATGTAAGATGCTCTTCTTATGAATTTACTTCCCCCAAGCTTGGCTATACCGTGGAGGAAGGCAACCATATGCAGCAGTTTCTGTCCATAAGACAAGGACCATTTCTTCTGTTGTCTGGACTCAAGTCATGCCTTGGCACATCATCTCTTTGGTTGCTCAGGGAAAGCAGGGATTACCAGAAGTATAAATAATCTAAGAATGCTGGATAGGGAGTGTGTAGACTTTGATGACCACAATGTGGCCTTTACTGTGCCTGTGTACTGGACAAGTCACCTATCATGGGTATGAAGTTTCTTCTCTTAAGGTGTGCTTGAGCTAAATTATTCCTTAGGTTCCTTCCAGTTCTGATAGCAGTAAAATCGTTCAATGAGCTGGTCATTTAGATCTATTTGAATTCTGTTTCTGCCACTGCTGGCTGTCATGTTACTTAGAGCCTTTAAAGTTAAGTTTAAAATAGGAATAAGAAAACTCTTCTAGGGTTATTGCAGGCTCTACATGTGATCCAATGAGAGCTTATCTACATGGGCAGATGACAGTTATGAAAGAACGTGAAACAAAGATGGATAACTTGGAGAGACTGTGGAACAAAGAAACTCACTCCAGATCACAGCCCATGGGGAACCAGACAAGTAAATGTACTACAGTGCTTATAAATCTGGACGCATACACAACCTTTTTTAGTGTCAGGATAGACATCTCCAGGCTTCTCTTATTGTGAGGGTGCACCCCCTAGTGGCTGTAAGATATGAACATTTCATTAAGATGATTGAAACAAATGTGGGACAGGTAAGCAAACATGAAGTATTTGGGGTGTTGTTAATCTTTGATAAAGCTAATAAAGCTAATCTTAAAGTTAGCAGAGTATCATTAATTATATTAATTTTAATAGTAGTTCTTTATTCAACTTTCCCATAAAAGTCATGTTCTGGGCATTTATAAGAAAGATCTTGCAATTCTAAAAGAGAAAATTACATTTTAAATTAAAACATAAATTATATTGAACATTGGAATTGCACATAAAACCTTTAGGGTAGTTCTTTATGTCATAAAATTGAAAATTATTTAGCACCCCCCCAAAAGAAATGTGCACTAATTCTGGGGCTGAATAGCCGAACTCTTTAGATATAACCATGCTTCTAATTTGGTTATGTGACTGGAAAAGTTGCTACATTTCTGCAGATTTGTTTCCTCATGTTAAAATATAGCACTCTAAACCTGACATTTGTAAGGTCTTTCCAGTTTTAACAGTCTTTGTTTTGAGACAGGTATTATTATCAGTAGTAGCATTTGGCATATTGAACTCAGGGTTTGTGCTTGCTAGGCAAGTCTCTATCCCTTGAGCTGTGTCCCAGCCCCTTTGCCCCCCCCCCCCTTTTTTTTTTTGCTCAGTCATGGGGCTTGAACTCTGGGACTGGGCACTGTCCCTTTTCAGCTCAAGGTTAGTGCTCTACCACTCAAGCCACAGTGCTACTTCCAGCTTTTTCCGTTTATGTGGTTCTAAGGAATCAAACCCAGGGTCTCATGCATGCAAGGCAAGCATTCTACCACTGAGCCACCTTCCCAGCCCTGCCTTCATTATAAGTCTCACTTTCGGCTGGGCCACCCTGGACTAACATCCTATTTATACTTCCCTGGTTTGTATAACAGGTGCATGCCACCATAATTTTTTGGTTCTTTTTGCCCAAGCTGGGCTCAGGCCATGACACTCCCAACCTTCTAGCTAGAATTACAAGGCTGATTCATCACACCCAGTTTTGAGGCATGTTAATTAATACATTAGGAAACTGCCTTCACTAATTTTCCTTAAGGAACTTAGGGTCTCAAGCATAATGATTTATAAGGACATTGTGCTTATGAGTTTTTTCCCCCCCAATTTTAGCCATGTGGAACAGAGTGCTTGTCACTAATTCATGGGCCCCCCCTTCCATAGGGTAACATAGTCTCTCCTGGAGAGACTATGGAACAAGGAAGCTTGTTCAATAGGAGCTGCTCAATCAGGACTTGATTTAGTCTCCTCTGAATCTATGTAGGACTAGTGTTGTGCAAAGAAATGTTAGCAAAAGTGATGTGTATACTTCCAAGCTAAAATAGATACGATTCTCCATCCTTTGTCACCTGTCTCCACTACAGAAGGCTGGAAATAAAAACAATTGGAAATATGCTATTTTAGAAAAGCCAACCACTTAGAAACACTGAAAATTAGGGAAGACGTGATTAACTATAAGTGTATAGAGGAATCAATGGCCAGCAAATGTCTTGGAATAAAAATTCAGAATTTCATTGTTGTCACTTAAATTACTTTTACTGAGGGACCTGAGTTCAAATTTGTTATATAAGCAAGAGGAACCCCGCTTATGCTACTATGAAGGAAAAAAAAAATAAGTCCTTTAAAGGACTTAGAAGTTTCTCCACAAATACTAACATCTCAAAGATGCAAAGTTCTTGACCTAGCAACTAATGCTCTGTGAATCTACTCTCAAAACATTGATGATAAAAAAATAAGAAAATAAAATCATCCTTAACTAGAAAAACAGTATCCTAAAGCTCTACTCAAATGCATCAAGTCACTGACTTCAGATGGATACTGCAGAATGCAAAGGATGACCAGCTCTTCTTCACATGTTCATAAAAGCTGTTTCTTTCTCTTGGTTGTTGGTGACCCATGAGTGAGCAACCCAGAAAGATGTTCTGAGAAACGTGTAGAAGCCAAAGATATGATCTTGTTTTTTAAATGTGTAAGTTTCTTACTCACTAGAAAAGATGAGAAAGTTAATGCTAAGTTAATGAGATTTCCACTTTCTTTATATACTTGCTATAATTTGATTTAGCTGACTGAACACTGGCTGCTTCACAGTGAACATCTTCGTATACCTATCAACGGACAAAGCATTCTCAGCACTCTCAGACTTTCACTTCTTGCCTCACTTCTCAGTGCAACACCTTCCCCCAAACACCAATGAACCAAACCGTGCCACGTACCTCTTCCAAAGATGGGTCTGTTCTCTCTAGTCATCCTTTATCCTTAAATGTTCTCTGTAGGCATTTCAATCACAGCTTGATTCCTAGTGTCTTAGCAAATTGTGTTTCCCCCCCTCACTTGGTAAATAATAGCCTTCTTTTATGAATAAATGCTTTTCTTTTTGTAATTCAATATGCACACTGCTAATAATTTAGAGACAAAATGATCACCCATTTTATTTTCAAAAATTTATTTTCATGTAATCCTTAGCAAGTTTCTCCTTAATTTTTATAAGATAAAATCCCAAGTCTTAAAGTTAGATATATAATGGTATATCACAAGTAAGCATGGAAGAAAGACCATAATCATTTTGGGGTAAGATATTTCTTAAGTCTATAAACACTGATATTCACCATATTCTTTAACAATATATATATACAACATGGTATGCACAAATGTACAATGGTTGAAATCACTGTATTGTTATAGAATATTTTAAACTTCAAACCAAGGAAAAAAATCCAACACTGATAACATCTGGGAAAAATAACAGTAACTGGTTTATCAACAAATCATGTAGATATCTAGTAAGTTTATATATACAAAACGTCCTGTATATGTCAAATCCACAAGTTTAAAGATACTTGACAGATCTACTTATAACATGCTGAAATGTAAACAGGCTGAAACCAAAGTGTTTGGTCACCTATAAAACAGGAATCAAAAGTGTGAAAACATTTAACAGACTTCAAAAATCCCAAGACAGTTTACTAGGATACCTCAAAGAAAACAAATCAGGCCCTCTTGAAATTAAAGCTCTCCTGAATATATTCAAAAACACCAAAGGAAGAAAATGATTAACAACCTAGATACTGAGATTAATTTATCTTCTGAATTTTAGATCCGTAACAATTATGGCTATGGCATAATCATAGCTTCTCTGGGTTATACATGATTTAATGGGGAGACCATGTCCATAACCTCTTGATTCTAGGAACTTGATGTGGCTTAGAAGATCAATTCATAAAATATCAGAAAGTGTAATTATAGGTTCAAATGGAAAACAAACAAGCAGAAAACAGAGTTTCGGGTTATATCACACATAAAACCTTAAAAAAAAAAAGGCCAACCAGGACATAATGAACTTAAGTATATTATATTATTAACAGTGATTTTCTGGACATATTGTAAAATATATTAATTTGTAAGAACACTATCAAAAGTACTGGTAAGCTGTGGATTCAAATCAAATTTGATAATTATTTTTGTGCTTCTGCAAAAGTTTCTCTTGATGCCATGTGTCATGCTAGACTGAGTCTCGGGGAAAAAATGTGGGTACCCTGACTCAATTCTCATGGAGAAAACCAGACCGAAGATCTGTTGTTGCGGCCTTGTGAATGGGTAGCAACAAACCAGGTGGTCAGGTATAGTGGCTCTTTTGTTGGCACAGGATAGAGTACTACTCCTAGGGATCCTGACTGCTCAGCTTTCTCCAACTTCCCTTGTTAGGACTCAGCAAAATACATGGGAAATGAAAGAGCATGAGGCATCCGTGGGTGGTACGTTAAAGCCCCACCACCTCTTTCTGCCCAGAATGAGAGCCCTTGACAGTTTGCAGGTGACAGACCTCTCCCTGCTCCTGGAGGCAGGGAATGCAGAACATAATAGAGAAGGTTAGGGAAGCACTAAACAGCTGCAGAGAAACCTCAATCTCCAGAATTCTGGTCAGAGTGCAAAGGGATGACATTGCAGTGGTCAGACTTTAACAGCGGGATGGCAGTGCTCTTGCAGGGGCTGGGGTAGTAGTGGTGGTGGTCAGAACACAGCAGGGACAACTTATCCATGAGGCACAGTGCCTCAGGCTTGTAGTATGAAAAGCCCATAAAAATGTTTTAATTTAACTTCATGAGAGGAAAAAATGGATCTTTAAGGGAAATGTTTCCATTTAAAACATTAATGAATTCTTTTTATACAAACTGAATCATAGGATATAATTTAAATTCTGTATAGAATGAGTCCAAGATTTGCTTGAGGCCCACAAAAGTTCAGGCAGCTTTGAATTTATAGTCAAACCAACTACAGAAATGGAAAACACAGCTTTAAAAGACTTAAGAAGAATGATTCAGGCTAGAATGGAGGGGCATAGACAGACAGTTTAATCCTGCTTGTTTGCTTGGTGCTTGAGAGCCCATTTCTGAATGTTATTTTGAATTTGTTTGGAACTGAGCTAAATCTAATACCGGAGAAGTGCTAGAATCAATTTTCATTAGCTAAGCTGGTACAAGAAAGAAATTAAGCTCACTATTTGACAGTTGGGTGCAATAATAAAAGTCACAGAATTAGGGTAGAGCTTTGGGATTTTAAAGCCCTTTCTCCACTGGAAAAAGCCTGAGTTCAGCAATGTTCTGGACTGAATAGAGGTCACACAGCAAAGTGGGTAATGCAGTTACGATAGAGCTTAGGTTCCTTGATTTCTGGTCTAGACTCATACTCCCAGCCCTCAAAGTAATTTCATAAACTATGTTGTCATGGGAAAACGATTCATTTTCTTAAAAAAAAAATGTTAACATGGGAACTGCACAATCTCAAACTAAAAAATTCCATTAACAAATGGAATGAATGGTAAAATTTTAGACCTGGAAGGACAGTAAAAGGTAATTTAAATCTCAGGCACACAAAAGAATTGATGCCCACAGAAAGTAAACTATTATCTCCCCCAAATAACAAGGTTGAGACAAGCCCAGGTCACCTAAAACCGCAAACTCCCATACTGCCTTACTCTTCTTTGGTTACTGATTACAAACAAATAAAGAAGAAATGGAGAATAACTTCTAACTGAAATATACTTAAACTGTTCATAAGAATGCTTGGGTATAAATCAGTTTTTTGGTTAGTAGGAATAAACTAAAACTTACAGAATTTTAATAAAAGAGGTAGCACCTTTATTTCTATTTGGAAATTGGACTTAAATGTGGATCAAACTTATGATTTGTTGTCTCTTCACAATGATCCAGTACCACTTATCCTCTTAGGTTCAAAAACATACACTAAATTCTAATGTTTTCAGTTCTCTAAGATCAGTAATATATAATTTGAAAGATATCACATAAATTTTTTTTTACATTTTCAAAAGTTGTAAAACAATACAAAAATATATGAGGGGTTGAGAGGTGTGGCTCAGTTGGTAAAGCTCTAGCCCATGAACAAAGGCAGGAGGTACTGAATTTGAGTCTTAGTATCAGACCAAAAAAAAAGAATACTTGATAATGTATGTCTGAAAAGCTGAAATTGTCTAAAAGCTGGATTTTCTATAAAACAAGTATGCTGACTTTCACTTCCTATTCATAAAGCATACAACTGAGTTAAATATGTAGAATATTAAAAATTAAATCTCTTATTTATTTAAACTTTATTGCAGCTGATCTCTTTTTTTCTTATAGTAGATATACATATACAAGCAAGCTATCGGAGGATTAGTTACCAGGTCTAATTACTACAATACTGAGCAGATAGAAGAGCTACTATTTCATGTGTGTAAAATCAATAAAAATGTTTTTAGAGTGCTGAGAAAAATGTCATAACTTATAGTAATGTTGCTATAAAAGAACAAATATCCATGATTAAAAATTGGTAACTTAATTCTCTCCTTTGGGACACTCCCCTGGCTATTTTTAAGATTCTCTCCCGGCCCCCCTATAGTATGTTATTAGATTTATCAGTTTGTAATTATCGCAGTGACTACCAAACTATATCTCATTTGCAACCCCAAACAGCCAACACAAATCTCATCAGAACATATACAAAGATTCAAAGTCCTGCTAATGAGATCTGAGATGCCAAAATGGAAAATAATAAATGATTAGTTCAGGAAAGAAGTAAAAATTAGAGATTCTTCATTGATAAATCTGAATATAACAGTAAGGCAGACTATTTGCATAAATTTTCAGTCTACTGAGTTACTTAATAAAGGACAGGCCTTTACAGTGCACCCTAGTTTATATAGCACCTATACCCATTGTATAAAAACAAGTTTAATCCTTCCCTTTTCAAGTGATTTAGGTGGTAAGTTGAGAATTTTGTGAATTAAAAGAAAAAAAACGCTATTTGTGCCACAATTAAATTACAATAATTTCAAGGTTATGAGCTTTGAAAATAGGATCTATCATGTCAAAATTACTTTGTTTCAGTTACATTAACAATTCCTTTGTACAGTTCTCTTCAGTTATTCCATTTTCTTGCTTGCTTTTGTAGTCAGAAATGAACAAATTTTCTATCTGAGTTAAGAATTCCTCAGCAATGAAGCAATTGGTTATGTTGCTCAGGGTTTTCCTCAGACACTCCAAAAGCTAGTAGAGAATAAAAAGTTCATAATTAAGTACCTAGAAAGTGTACTTTGTTTTATAACTTTCTAAACTACACATTGACAATTAAATAGGTACCAGTTAAAAATTAACTTGTGTTCAGTAATTCTATGCTGGAACAATGAAAACTCTGCTAAGGAACACAGAGTATAGTACCCTTACAATTTCACATAGAGAGACAAAAGTGGAACTGTTATGTGACACTCTCTACTCTGGACAAACTTGCAACTTTATTCACTCTACTTTTTAGGGCGATGAGGAGCAGTTACATTTACAGAAGAAAATAATCTTGAAAGATTAAAAGACACAGGTCTTTTTTTGATGATAGAGCTCCACAGTCACAGTAAATCTTCCTAAAACCCACTGGACTATCTGTAAAAAGTATGGCAGCATCAACACCCCAAAGTGACACTGGCTGGCTGGCTGGCTGTTAAGAAATGCAAATATTCTGAACTCAGAGGATATAAGAGAAAGGGCCATGAGATCCAGTCCTGTTTCATCTTTTGTTCTGTTATAAAAGTAATAACATCATGAATGAAACAGAAAAAGAAGTTATGGGGCTATGGCTGAAGTAGTGAGCCTGGTCACTATGTACAAGGCCCTGGGATCCAAGTCCCAGTAGTCAATAAATTGAAAAACAATGAACCAAACATATATTCAAATTTTTCTATTTCTAATTGCTATTAAAAACAAATCATCAAAGATAAATGCTATGATTCATTACAGAAGCAAAACTAGAAGTGAAATATAAGAACTTATACCCTTTATTTCCTGCTTTAGAAAATTTTAAATGACCATTTAAATGTTAAGATTTTTACTATCATTCTTAAGAATGATTAATTGTTAAGGCTAACAAGGAAACATGGTGCTTTTCAGTTTAATAAAATCAGAAAAATCTCCACTGTGCACAATAATAATCTGCTAAGAAATTTATCAGTCAGCACTGACAAATTTATTCTAAAATAGTATTACTTCAGTGTAAGCTTGGGTAACAAAACACATTACTAATTATCTTCTAGAAATTAATTTTAGCAAGGAAAAAGCAATAAAGAGCTACCCAGAAAATGTATCCACAAAGCATAAGGCATCATGGGAAAACACATTGAGATAAATAGCTTTGGATTCTGTGAACAATGGAACCAATTATAATAAAGGCAGCTTACTTTCTGCAAACAAGTTAGGTCAGAATCCCGGCGAAAGATTTTATCCATGGGGACACTGCTGTAGGAAGAAATATGAAAACAAACTGATGAAACAAATACTATAAAGTAATCAGTTGTGTAATAAACTATCACTGGTGCCATACATCACAATTTTATATCTAACTTGGGTTTTCTCTGAAACATAATTTAATGAGAAACACTGCAGATGTGCAGCCATCTCAAACCACAACACATACCTGCGGGAGAGCCTGTATTTTTCTATTATCCATCTTGTCTTTTCAAACACTAATCCCCACTGAGGTTCTTCTAACATCTGTTGTACTTCAAATTTGTAAGGTAAACCTAGAAAAGCATAACGAAACACATTTTTTTCAACTATTTCTTAAATCTCCACTCTCCTTTTAATTACTTAAAATTCCCCTCAGTGTTTTTACAACCATAGTTTGGCAGACCCGCTGAAAAGCACTTAGAACACACTGGGCTTTCATTAAATATTTACTGGCTGAATGTACTTGGTCCATCAAGCATTTTAATGCTGATCTATTAATAATAATGAAGAAAAGTAAGAGTGACACTTTCATGACTGTTCTATGCAAGGCACTATAAGAGGTAGGATGATCACATAATTTATCACTCAGACCAAGAGACCTTCTGAATGGAAGAGAACACAATTAATAACCATGCCAGAATCAAAGGCTACTGTCTTAGGCAAGCCAAAACATACTGCCATCCTAGTGATAAGCACAAGTTATTAAGCATATTACATTGCTGTAACACGATAGGTGGCATTATTCTTATTTTACAAATGAGAAAACAAAGCTGAAACAGCCAAGTAATGTGCAGCAAGTGAGAGTTAGAGTCTAAATCCTATTGTGTTGCCTTATTTCTGAGCCCATACTTTTTCCACCTTTCTATAGGCACCAATCTAAGTCTAGACAGCATTAACCCTGGAGAGGCAGAAACCACACCTAAATAAAAGCTTTAAACCTAAGCTCTAGAGGAAAGAATGTCCTAAGAGGTAGATAGACATCATGTATGTAGCTAGGAAGGGAAGAGTACCACATAGTGAGCCACCTTAACTAATGCCCACATATCCTTCACATTCCCACATAAAGTTATCTGCAGAATACTAAAGAAAAAGCTTACGGTGTGTTGCATGGCTCAAGTAGTAAAATGTCAGAGGTTCAAAACCCCAGGAGAGGGAGGGGGAGGGGAAGAAGGAAGGGGAAGGGGAAGGAGGAGAGGGAGGGGGAAGGGGAGGGGGGTGAGAGCGCCAGAGTGCCAGAGCACCCAAGCAAGCCACGGACTCTTCGTTACTAATGAGTATATGATGCTTACCAGTGCCAGGCCTGATGTACTTTACATATGTGAAATCACCTAAAGGACACAGCTACCATATGTCCTCCTTTTTTTTTTTTTTAAAAATAAGGACACCGAACCATGGAAGGGTTATAAATCTGTTCATGGTTGTATATAAGAAGCAAAATTTGAACCCCAGACAGTTGGAATTAAAGAATATGTGTTCTCAATATATTACACTGCCTCTTTAGTGGTTTGTTTTTCTATTTTTTTTTTTTTTTTTGCTATAAAGCTTTCAAGCAAAGCCAGGAATGTGCTATTAAAGGGCTCCCTTTGATAATCATCTCTTCCTCTTATTTCTTACTTCTTCCCTCCTGTTTTACTTCACCCCTTCAGAAACTTAAGAATAACAAACACATTGTAGCACAAGTGGCTACTTCTGGTGATAACAATAATGTACCTGACATGCTTTGATTACCTACTATGCAGTTACCCCCTATAATCACAGCTACCTACTGAAAAACCTACTATTTACTAAATACTTCAATTCCTCACTCACAAGCTTTATAACTATCTATCCTGTAAACCAGTTTTTTTTCTCATTTTAAAAAAGTAAGAGAAGACATGAGAGAGGTAAATTAATCTGCCCAAGTTAAAATAACTAGAAAATGTTTCAGCTGGGATCTGAATATAGTTGAGTGACTTCCCTTCTTAATGAAAGCTGAAAATGGGAATAAAAGGAGGTAAACAATGTATTTTCAGCCAGGGTTGACTGGAAAAACATAATACATACATACATAAACTATATACAGCCCCATTTGGTATTAAGAAGCACATACTAAATTTTAAAGAGGAATTAAAGTAAAAACTTCTTTTTGTACACACTTTCTATCCACTATAGTATTAAATTAAAACCAATTCTTAAGTATGTTTCTTGGCTTATACAAGTTCAGGACACTGAACCATAAAAGATATTTTAAAGACAGAACGTAGCCTTTTGGCTAAGATCAAGTATAGTAAAAGCACTGTAACACATGCCATCTCATAGCTTGTGGAAAATCTCAAACTTTGCACCAGGTTTGGAGAAGCAAAACAAAGAACCTAAGATTAAAAAACTCAGTTTTAACAATGGACAAGTCATTTCAACACAGGCGTCCAACAGAACGTTCTACAATGATAGTAACAATGAATAGCTGTGTCCTATCCAGGAGTAGCTTATCCTTCCCCTGCCTGGGCTAGTTTCTTCACACTCATGTGCTGTTTTAGAAGGTATACTTGAAGGTGTATCTTTCACAATACACTGTTTGTTTCTCTCTGGGAACTTAGCTGCTTTGGTCTTAACTCTGTGTCTTCAAGAGTTGGCAGGGCCCTTATTGGGTTTCTCCTCCTTCTGCCATATCTGAAAACTATATACACATTACTGAGGATTAAACCCTGGGCCTTGTTCACACTAGGCAAATGCTCTCATCACTTGAGCCACATTTCAGCACTCTGTTTTTGAAACAAGGTCTCCCTAATTTTATCTTGGCTGTCTTCCTTATCCTTCTGCCTCCTGAGTGTCTGGGATATAAACATGGACTATCATGCTTACCTATCTGGAAACTCAAGTCAGTATATTAGGGGTAATTTGAAGCTCAACTGATTTGTCTCCCATATCTCAGTAATCACTTGCCTTTGCTGCCTAAAGTTGTATCCTAAATACCACTGTTTTATTTCCTTAGGTTTTGTGATTGCTTCAGAATGGTCTCTGTTACTTTACTTTGGTCAGAAGTTGAATCAAATAAGCTGAATGGTAAAGGTCACTTAATTCCAATGAATTTAAAGTCACATGTACCTAGTGACAACTGTATTAGATACTATCAAAATAGAGGCTTATGACCAAAACCTAAAAGACTGAGAGAAAAAAGAATGACTTAAATAGAAAACAATTTAATTTTATTTATTTATTTTTCTCCTGTAACTTTTTTTGTAAAACTATAGTAATTCAAAGGATTATGTGGTGTGCTCAGATTGGCATACTGGACTAAGGCTAATGCCACCATTATCCACACAGTAAAAACTCATGGTGGTTGACTGATCCTAGATAGAAGGCAGTGAACTAAGCACTACAAAGACTATCCGTTGTTAGTGTTTGGGTATTTAGTTTAACAAGATTTGCTAAATATGACATGTGGGTAATGCTGGGAAGTGTTGACCAAATATGTAGCATCCAAGGAATATAATTCAAAATGAAGAGGAATTAGCAATTAAGCAAACTCACTTTATCCTAGACCTTGTGTTAAACAGAACAATAGACACAAAGATCTCATGATTTAAAAAGGAGTATACTGTTGTAACTGCAGTGAGGTGTACAGAGGAAATCCCTACTCAAGAAGTAGCATTAAGAAGATCCTAGAAGTGTCAATTCTTTCTCTATCCATGCTCCATTCCTTCTTCTAGTCTGTCTCCTAGTCTGTCCAAAATTGACTGCATCATGAGTAGATATAACCTAAGAGGAACCAAGCTGGATGATAAGCTATGCCAATCAAATTTATTCTTAAGTTAGAATGGGAATTAAGATATGTAAAAGCAGACCTTAGTGCTTGGCACCTGTGACTCATGCCGGTAATCCTTTCTACTCAGGAGGCCAAGACCTGAGGATAGCAGTTCCAAGACAGCTTGTGGAGGAAAGCCCATGAGATTCTTACTTCCAATAAAATACAAGGTAAAAAAAAAAAAAGAAATCTGAAGGTGGAAAAGTGGCTCAAATGATAAAGCACTAGTCTTGAGTACTAAAGCTCAGGGACAGTGCCCAGTTCCTGGGTTCAAGCCCCAGCACTGGTACCAAAAAAAATAAGCAAAAGTAGTCTCTAGTAAGCCCAATGTCACTGGGAGGTGAAGGAAAGCTAGAGTCATTTATGTTTTTTTCATTTATATGACATTGCAGAGAAAGCCAATCTATATTTACAAAAATATTTTCATTAGAACAGGAATTCTGTCTTGTTTTTACTGTAGTCTTTCCAGTGTCCAGCACACACACTGCTTGTCTACATTTTCATCCTTTGCTGATGGAGAAGTGATTGCATTAAGCATCACATCTAGGGTCACCTTCCCATCAAATGCTTTGCAGTTGTTTCTGAGATTCAAAGAAATGAGGTTAGGATTGATAAGAGGTTGTTACTGTTGAAAACTTACGATAGGAGCCATCTGGGCTCATTTCCTCACTTATTACCAGGCAGGTCATCTGGGAATATGGTAAAGGATTGTTTCCATTATACGGACTAACAATCATTCCAATGAATTTTGCACCTCCTCTGGAGAAATAGCTCTATAATTAGAAGAAAAGCATAGTTTTAGCATACATATTTAAATCAATTATTTATCCATATCAATATTCTAAACATCAAATAGTAAAAAAGAAAAAAGGAACATTAAGAACTTCATATCCCAACAACTAATTAATAACTACAAATAGAAACCTACAGCAAAAACACACAAGTTGCAGAATTTTTAAAAAAAGTTTTTTCCCCAAGCGCAAACTATATTAATGTTTCCAATTATATTAATTATTCACTCAATCCCTGTCCTAGTTCTTCCTAACAGTTTTTTAAGTTCCTGTAAGAATTTATTCATGTTGCATTCATGGCTTTTCTATAATAAACAAAACTGCTTACTTTCCAAATGCTTAGATAAACATGTGTCCCACCAATTGGGAAGAAAAAAAAAAAGGCAACTTAAATCAAAGTCCCAGCTGTAAAATACTGGAAATATAAAGTTAAACATAATCAAAGTATATTTAATAAAAAATCAGAGTGGGAATGTGACTTTGTTTTGTTTACTGGTGTTGGTCCTTGAGCTTGAATTCAGAGCCTGGGCATTGAGTTTTTGTGCTCAAGGCTAGCACTCTACTACTTGAGTCACGGCTCCATTTCTGGCTTTTTGGTAGTTAGTTAGAGATAAGCTTCTCCTGGACTCCTGCCCAGGCTAGATTCAAACCACAATCCTTAGATCTCGGCTTCCTGGGTAGCTAGGATTACAGGTGAAAGCCACCAACACTCAGAAAGGGAGGAAGTGTAGATAATAATTTACAGAATAAAACCTATGAGCATACCTGGTATTTAGCTTGTGTGTCAATATCTCGTAAGGAAGGATTAGGGTCAAATGCAGGATGAGAATGATACCATCCAATAACGCTGTAGCCTCTTACCGCTAAGGTTTCTGAGGCTTGGGTTTGTGATACAGGGTCCATCTCACACTGCAGTCCTGTACTCAGGCTGTTACATGGTTCTGCTGCACAAACCTACAAATATTGATCCTTATATTATTACACTGAAATCCTATCAGTTTTATTTGCAAATCAACTGTATTCCAAAAGTGACTATGTGCTAGTATGCATTTTCTATTCTAAGTGGGTAATAGCAATAAGGGTAACGTAAAATGGTAAAAATTGTAATGTAAAATGGTAAAAAAGGATTCTTTTAACAAATGATTCATTAATGACAACAATAATTGGTAGAATAATGCATACCAATTTCAACTGTAAGAATTAGCATGTGTTTTTGGCCTCTTAGTTGTAGTTTTATGTTGGCAAAGGTAACCAGAAGCCAAGGCCTAGTAGTATTCTATCCTTGATAGGAAAAGCCAATAGATGCTTAGTATATAGAATATTAAGAAAATATGTAACTTCAGAGAATTTTTACATTTGCATATTTTCACATATATCCTAAGTCATCTACTTTGGTAATATTCATGGAATTCTACAAAATATTTGTCATACAGAAGGATAATAGTAACTAAACATTTTTTAAAAAGAAAGCACCTACTTCAACCACCTTATCAGCTTCTAAGTATCTTCCTCCTAATAGGCCAATTACTTCTGCCATAGAAACATGAGCATGCTAAAAAAAAATACGAGATAGACTTAGACCAAATGAACAAACCCATCTGACAAAAAAAAAAAGAATAATGCTATCATAGGATAGACAGTCTAAGTATGGTAACCATGCTTATCTATAATAAAGTATAATGGGAAGGGAACTAGTTGCTGGAGCAACCGGGACTTAGATTTAAAGTTTATCTTTACTGGTGCTTGAAATAGTTTGAACCAAATGACTCCATAGTCCTACTTTAGTTTAGTGCAAACAAGGAACCTCCAAATTACAAGTGTTATGCATTGTTTCAGTAATCTAAAAGGCAGCAGACATGGGATATTAGGAAATAGAAACAGGGTTAATAATGGTAAACAGTCTGCAAAACTCACATTAATTTATTTTCTCTAAAATATGGAAACATGCAATTGTCTGGCTTTTCTCCAAAAGAAAAGACTTAGTTTAGATTCCTTGTAAAAGAGGATAGTCTTCCATACTCTTATGCCTGTAATAAAAATACACAAGAATAGAAATCAGAATAACTAAGTAAACACAATAGATTATCCTTACCAAATCCATTATTAAAAGTGCTTCTGAAGCCACTTTCACCTGAAATGGCTCCTGAAATATAAAAAAAAACAAAACAAAAACAAATGGGAGCATAAAAACAGAGATTCTATTCTCATTAAGCAGAGATCCACCCTTTCTCCTTCACCTATCCCCAAAATCCTCACTACCACGCAAGGAACAACACAAGCAGAGTTTACTATCTTGGGGTTGTTGTTTAGTTATTCTTCAAACCCCAGCACAAAGAAATTCCTTCTTTTCCAGCTATTAATACCTGTCCCTGTCTGATTTTTTTGTTTTGTACTGGGGCCAAAACCTAGGGCCTTTTCCTTTTCCAGGCTCTTATCCTTTTATATACACATGGCTTATACACCAGAAAAAAAATAAGTATGCTCTGTCTGATGGAAATACCACTTATGATCATTCATTGATATATAAAGAGTACCTGCTTTTCTTCACTGAAAAAATTACAAGGTATCAGTTGGAAGGGATCAAATGAGCTGAAAAAGGGAAAAAAAACATTTTTAATATAATAAGATTAGGAAGAAAATACTGATTTACGGATCTGAGCATGTGTTATCAACAATAAACTTAAATTTTGTATTTGAAATTAAAAGAATTTCTCATGACATTCCATACAACCCTTCTGAAAGAAGTACTGTTCAGATTTGACACAAAAAAAGCAAGAAAGAAAGAAAAAAAGGAAGACAATCTGAGAAAGAAATTCTGTTGTCTTAAATTCCTTTAACATTTTCCCAAAGAAACACGATAGTTTTGACTTATATAGAAAGCAGACTTTAAAAAAAATTCATTGAATCTCAACCCAATATCTGATATGAGATCTGCAAGTTCAAGGAAGATAGTTTTCAAAAACACTCCATTCAATATAGGCCATTGTGCCCCTCACAGAGCAAAGACTCATTAAATGCTGAATGAATAATGAAATGTTCTGCTACAGGAAATAACACAAAGTCCTACGACAAAACTCTGATTTTAAAATGTAAAGAGAAAGAAAGGAACCTAGCCAAGGTTAGATACAAAACCATGTGTAAACCCCGAAGAAACATTAGAAAGCTGTGGCTAGTAAAGAATTGAGGTTCAAAATATATTACAAATAATGCAAAGGTTTTTTTTTTTAATGCTATATTCATTGAAAGAGAAACAAACATGTTAACAGAATATAACACAAAGAGTATGATATTTGGGTCCCATTTTTACCAGAGTCTGTTAGTACTGAAGAGGATACATTTGTTTTGCTTTACAAATATATTCCAGGAACCAAAAACAGGGCCCCAAATACAATATACATTCAAATTGTATGTCAAGTGAAGCTCAAAAGTTTTTAAATTAAATGAATAAAAAGAAACTAAAGGCCAAGACAGATGGGGAAAATATTAAACAGCTTTGAAAAACATGGCTGGGCACTTAGGAAGTATGAACATGACCAACATCAATGTTTGTGATGGCTGTAGAATGAGAAAGTACACATGAATTTAAATAGGTTCTGACAAAGCCAGGTGCTGGTGGCATGTGTCTGTAATCCTAGCTACTCCAGGGGCTGAGATCTTCAGGACAGATGCTTGAAGCCAGCCAGGGCACACAAAGTCTGAAAGATTCTATCTCCATTAACCAGCAAACAGCCAAAAATGGAGGTGCAACAAAAATTGTTGACCATGATCTAAAAAAGCCAAGTAAAAGCATGAAGCCTTCAGTTCAAAGCCCCAGGGCTGTCAGAAAGAAGAGGAAGAGCATGAGGAAAGGAGGCAGGAGAAGAGGTAAGAGGGAAGGAGAGAATGATGGACAGAGAAAGAAGGAGTGAGAGGAGGAAAGAGAAAGAAAAGGTAAGGGAGAGAGGAAAGAAGGAAGGAAATAAAAGGAAAAGAAAGAGAAGAGAAAAGAAGAAAAGAGAAGTTGTTTCTGACAAGCTGGAATGACTTGAAATGCAAACCTCACATACAGATTGAGAAAATCAAGTATGTGGATTCCGGATGAGGAGTTCAGATAAATGATGATTCATATAAACTATGTTTCTTATATATTCTACCTACTTCATTTGCATGACAGTGTAAGTTTTAATTTGTTCTGAAAAGGCAGTATATAGATATCAGATTACATATTACCAGGAATAAGGATTTTTAAGGTTTCTCTGGCTTAAATCACAACTCCACCACTATATACATTAATATAAACAAGTTACTATAACCTCTCTTTCTACTCAATTTTCTCACCTGTAATATGGGAATGATAATGTAAAACTACTTAAGAGGACTGAAATTAAATGGGTTACTGTAAGTGAAGCATTTAAAACATAGCTACCACTTAATTTTATTTTATAAATGGCAACTCAAGGCTTATGCAAGAACACAGAACTGCTAGCAAAGTGTTCTATTGGCAGTATTAGACATCTAGTTTTAAAAGAAGTAAAATTATAGTCTATTTAATAGGGCAACTGCAGGAAATGAGAGATCTAGAAAACTTAGATATTTAACCTACTTGATGATCCTTAATTCTACAAATTACATTTGTAATATATATACAGTCAAAAACAAGTCCTACAACTACTGTGTATAATTAGCACAAAGAGAGTAGTTCAGAGGTGAATGGCCACTGGTTGTAAACAAGACTTCTTTGTAACATATTGGTTGGATCCAATGTTTATGAAACCTGAACTTTAAACTTTAGCTGGAAGGTTTCCCAAACTAATAATTAGTGAAAAAAAAATTTACTGTTTTTTAAAATTTTCTAACTAGAAAATAGTAACTGATATTCCTTAATATGAATAATGTAATAAAGCTATTGGATATTTTCCCACAAATTTTCTAACCACGTGATTAAGTTAAAAACAATTACATTGGCCAGATACTGAGTTGGCTCACACCTGTAATTCTCAGGAGGCTAAGATCTGAGGATCAAGATTTGCAATCAGCACAGGCAGGAAAGTCTGTGAGACTCTTATCTGCAATTAAGCACCAAATAGCTGAAAGCAGAGCTGTGGTTCAAGTGGTAGAGTGCTAGCTTTGAGCAAAAACGCTTAGAGACAGTGCCCAGGCCCTGAGTTCAAGTCCCCAGGGACCAGCACATACACACAAAAAAACTAACAAAAATCAAGTACCTTTATACAATGTAAAGCCATACCTTTTTGTTGGTCTTGACGCTTTTGAAGATTTAGTAGACTTACATTTTTCCTCTTCCCTTCGTTTTGCAAACTCCTCAGCAGACAGATGCTAAAAAAATAAAAGCCATCAGTTAATTAAAGAGTATATCAAATACTAAGAGTAGGAATAAATGTCTTTAAAACCAAATTTAAGAGTGTATGAAGTTAAGATTAAATTGGCACAGGGGGTTTCCTTCTTCTAACAAACAACAAGAATTTACTGGAAATCCTCTGTCTGTCTAGGTAACAGCCCTGGGGGGCTGGGAAGGTGGCTCAGTGGTAGAGCACATGCCTTGCATGCCAGAGGCCCTGGGTTCGATTCCTCAGCACCATATAAGAAAAAAGAAAAAAGCCGGAAGTGGTGCTCAAGTGGTAGAGCGCTAGCCTTGAGCTGAAGAGCTGAGGGACAGCACCCAGGCCCAGAGTTCAGGCCCCATGACCGGACTCAAAAAAAAAAAAAAACGAAAAACAGTCCTGGGCTTGAACTCAAGAGCCTGGGCACTGTCTCTGGGCTTTGATACTCAAGACTAGCTCTTTGCCAGCTGAGCCACTTCTTGCCTTCCAGCTCATTTATTTATTTATTTATTTATTTATTTATTTATTTGTGGCTAATTGGAGACATGACTTTCCTGCCTGGGCTGGGCTGGCTTCAAACCTAGATCCTGACATTTCAGCCTCCTGAGAAGCTAGAATTATTGGTTTGAGCTACCCAGCACCTGGCTGGATAATGCGTATTTTAACTCATTAAACTACATAGCCACACTAAAAAAGTATTGTTCCTGCTCTTGAGCTGCCCATGTCAATAAATAGGATCTATCATCCAGATTTGAAAACTCATAATCACAGAAGTCTATTTTTTAACCTATTTCAAGTTACTGAGATGTTGAATTTTCTTTCACAATGGATAAACAATGTAATGGTTAAGAACAAAATTCCACAGTAATAGAGAGCCTAGCATGTGTGAGTCACTGTGCTCAATCCCTAACACCAGCAAATCCCCAGCAAAGAGGAAACACTACCATAAAGATTCTAGAGCTAGAATGCCTGGTTCTGCTCCTTATTAGCTGATGACCACAGACAAGATCTGAACTTTTAACACTTCAGTTTCCTCATCTTTAAAATGAAAATAGTAATAACAATGCCATGGTGTTACAGTAGAGTTAATGAGTGAATGCTTATATCCAATCATTTTCTTTTATCACCATTCTTATAATCTAGTCAAAATCAACCATGCACCTTTTCCAGAATGTATCTAGTATTCTTCATAGGTACCTCTTGGCTTGTGCCGCTCTCTCAACCTGGAATGTTTCCATCTACTTTTCAATGATCTTTTTGCTAAGCTTGTGAATCAGATAACCTGTCTTTTGTGAACCTTTTCTGATCACTCTTTGAAGGGATCTTTTTTCATGTGTGTATGTGATTTAACAGTGCCTGGCCACTGTCTCTGAGCTTTTGTGCTCAAGGTTAGTGCTCTACCACTTTGAGCCACAGACCCATTTCTACTTTTTAGTACTTAACTAGAGATAAGAGTCTTACTGACTTTCCTTCCTGGGCTGGCTTTGAACCTTGATCCTTACATCTCATTCAGCCTCCTGAGTAGCTAGGATGACAGATATGAACCACCAGCTGGAGAATCCTTTAATTCTTGGACCAGTGTCTGGAGCTTACCATAGGTTTTTTTTTTATCTCCTACTAGAAATATAAATTTATTATGAACAACAGCATGTACTAATATGACTAGAAGATTGGGAATAGGAAATGGGGAAGACATTTAGAGTAACATTTACTGAGTACCTGTGCATGCAGACTTATTGAATACCTAACCGTAGGACCTTTATATATTTGGTCTCTTATTTCTTGTAAAAGGTATTTCTTTTAGGAAGTATTACCCACATTTCATAAATTAAAATATGAGATTCAAGCCAGGCGCCAGTGGCTCACGCCTATAATCCTAGCTACTCAAGAGTCTGAGATCTGAGGATCGTGGTTCAAAACTAGCCCAGGCAGGAAAGTCTATGAGACTCTTATCTCCAAGAAACCACCAGAAAACCAGAAGTGGCACTGTGGCTCAAAAGAGCTGAGGGAGAGCATCCAGGATAAGTTCAAGTCCTATGACTGAGAAAAAAAAAAAAAAGTTTCAGTGAGGCCAAGTAGTCAACCAAAGTAACAAAGCCAGTAAACAGATTCATATTCTTTCCTTTTTATTATGCTGGTTATCTACAACAAGTTATATATTTAGGGCTCATGTTTCTATACACACAAAAGCACATTCATTGCTTGTTATGCCTATGACTTTAGGTTTTAAATTTTTTTGTAGTACTAGAGTTTGAACTCAAGGTCTCCTGATTTCTAGGCAAGTATTCCATCGCTTGAACTATGTCAATTGCCCCAGGACTCCAGTTTTTATTAGCAGAAATAACATTTCAGTAGTTATAGCTTCTATACATTTGTATAGAATGTATAGAACGATCTTTTAATTGGTGTATCGACATTATTTAATAAGTATTTAATAAAATGAACTGGGTACATTAACTTCTTGGCCTGGCATATATTATTAAGACAATCAAAGTTCAGAAAATGAGGCACGTTCCTAGTTACCTTTACTACCAATGGCTTCCATTTGATTGTTTACTGATAAATTCCAGACAGACAAATTGACATGGGAATATATATGCTATTAAGATATACAAATATTTTGCCAATAAACACTGACCGAACAAAACACTTTTCAATGATGGTTCATGTGAAAGGTCAAAGTTACCTCAAATGTTTGTCCTTCTAAGTCCTTTGCATCACACCAGTTTCCCCAGGGGTCCCGTACCCTACGTCTCCGTGCACGCTATAAGAGGTTTAAAATAAAGCAAAAAGATTAACCTGGAGAAATCACAGCACATTAACATATAAAATTTAAAACAATGACTATCTAAAATGATTACTTTATGTAAACTTAGAAATTCATGTTCAAAATAACATTACTGATATCAGAGTAAGTTAAGAGGAAGAAGACTGCAGAAAAAAGCAGGGTATAGGCCTGGAAGTGACAGCTGGGTTTATTTTTAAAAGTTAGTGATAATTTTGTATATTTTACTTCCATTTCTTCTTTAATTTTCAGTTTCATCCATAAAATACTATAGACCATCAGCAAAATGAATTCTCTCTAACCTTCTCTACTAGAAACTTTGTAAGGACATACAGAAAAAGGAATAATGTTGAGAACCAGAAACAAAATTACTTCCTGGCTTTAAAAGAGAGACTAACAGGAGACTGTTAGCACAAATAAAAAATTCACTGATTCTATTACTAATGTCTAGTTTTATAAACCTCATTATATTGAATTGCTTGAAATGGACCAAGTGCCAAAGGGCATTATAGTACTCATATTACCTCTACCTAGTTATTTGAAAACATTCTTAGATAAGCACATCTAGGTAGAAATGATTTATACTTTAAATACTCAGAAAAATAGCTACTCAACCATCTATACACTTTTATTCTCTTTCTCTTACACTACATGCAAAACTAACAAGATCTTTTTATAACTCATAAGAGACTTGCTGGATAACTTTATTTTAAAAATATGATTCACCAATTTTTAAACATTTTAAAATTCACTGATTTCAACATATGAAACACAAAGAGCAATTATTCCAAAATGGAAGAGAAAAAGAAAACTGAACTATAAACCATATAGCTTTAAAAGACAGATTTATAAATCAAACTGAATAGCTGAAGGCCATGTCAGAAACACATTATGGTTCTAAATGGTTTGTAAGTCAATTCTGAGAGCTCTATAGCTTGTTTCGTCTTGTATACCAAATAGAAATTGGAATAGAACACAGAAAAGTACAAGAGAAACCAGTCTTTCTAACAAAGTCATTTGTAAGCAGATATAAAAAATAGGCAAGGGGCTGGGAAGGTGGCTCAGTGGTAGAGCACTTGCCTTGCATTCATGAGGCCCTGGGTTCGATTCCTCAGAACCACATAAGCAAAAACAAAAAAGTCGGAAGTGGCACTGTGGCTCAAGTGGTAGAGCGCTAGCCTTGAGCTGAAGAGCTGAGGTACAGCACCCAGGCCGAGTTCAGGCCCCACGACCGGACCCCCCCGCCCCCAAAAAAATAAAATAAAATAGACAAACTGGGCACCATTGGCTCACACCTGTAATCCTAGCTACTCAGGAGGCTGAGATCTGAGGATCATGGTTCAAAGCCAGACTGCACAGGAAAGTCTGTGACTCTTTTATCTCCAATAAACCACTCAGAAAACCAGAAGTGGCTCAGTGGCTCAAGTGGTAGAGCGCTAGTCTTGAGCTGAATTTCTGAGGGACAGGGTTCAGGCCCAGAGTTCAAACCCCATGCCCCACAAAAAAATGGCATACCTTACTAAGTAAGGAATACAGTGAAAAGACCATTAAGCAACAAAGCTGACTGCTTACCATAGATTGCAAACGCTGGGCAAGTTGGTAAGCTTCTACTGTATCTTTTCTGTCTCTAATTCGTACTTTATCAAGTGGTTGTGGCTTGTTATATACAGCTTGTTCTATTGGAATTCAGAAAAGATAAAACAATATATCATTTGTGAAATATGTTCATTAAGTAGGACAATACATCTATAGCTGAACTCTTGGTGATTGTTATTTCATGATAATACATCTGGTGTGCTACCTTGCCTTTCTCAAATAAAGCATTGCTATAATTCTAAAAAAAAATAAATAAAAAAAAATTTAATAGCCTCAATATTCAGGGCATTGGGCAAACCAGGCCACTGAAATGAAGGGCAGACCTCAAGGCAGATGCGTATTCTCTACATAATATGAAATCATTTCTATCAGCGAGTTTCGTAGTTGTTGTTTCACTTTCATAGACAATCACAGAATCCTGTTCTTTAACTATGGAAGTTTCATAGCTGTTGCTTCATTTTCATAGACAAACACTCACAGAATCCTGTTCTTTAACTATGGAAGTTTCATAGTTGTTGCTTCATTTTCATAGACAAACAAACACAGAATCCTGTTCTTTAACTATGAGTGGTGAGGTTCCATTTACCTTATGACTATACACAACTATAACTATTAGTTTTCTACAAGTTCTTGTCATGTTAATTCAATGAGAGGGTAGAATACATTTTGAAATTTGCATACTAATCAACTCCAAACTTGATTAAGGTTAAAAAAAACTTTTTTCAATGAAAATATTTTAGTGCTTTTATTACATGTAAGACTCCTACACTATTTCCTTTTATTTAATCATTGCTAGATACCATTTCCAGTGGGAGTTCAGCACAGGTTCAGTAATCATTATGAAAAACACTTGGGACAAGAAACATTTCAAATTTCAGAATTTTTGTATTTTAGAATATTTGTATAAAATGATCCCAATATCTGAATCATTTTAAGTGCTATACTGGCCTCAAGCTGTATTTGCAAATTAGATAACTTTTCACTACTTTTCCTAAAATTATATTTCCACTTGATAAAGAACTATGTTCCTCCCCCCCCCCAAAAAAAGAACTATGTTCCCAAATTGTTTCTATTTAGATCAAACACTTTTAAAATTACACTTTCAATTTTTACTGTAGATAAAAAAGAACAGTTCAATCAAAAAAATTTTACAGCAAAATCTTAACATATCTATTCCAAAAAAACTATGGTATATTGTGAATTTTACATACTTAAATCTACTTGAATTGTAATCGCCACAGAAATTAAAAGGTGCTATCAGGATAAAAAATGTTGTTGGGTTTTTATTTTTACCACATCCAAAATTGATTGCTCCTATCAACTCGAGGTATGTATGAATCCGTCCAATACAATTAACATCCCCACAGTTCTTCAGGCCAGGACGTACTGAGGTCTTATTTAAGTATTTCGGTTTGCATATCTCCCTAATTAAGAGATGGAAGTAAAATTATTTTGGATGAATGAAAACATGCAAAAAAGATTTCTGGGGAAAACGTCTAATATATAAGAAACCTTAAGAAAACCTTATTTTACCCCTCTCGATGTGTAAATGTGTAGTAAATATAATACTAATACCCAAGTGTATTTTTTTTCTGAAATAAGATATCTTTAAATGACTCAATAACTTACAAGTACATGTATTGTGCTATTTTCTCTTACAGGTATCATTCTTTTTCCAATGTTAAAATCCATAGATTCCAGTTTTCCTAGATTTTGAACTTAGAAGCTTCACAAATCTAAACTCAAGTCAAAATCTTTGGACAGAAGGTTTATTTGTCTGAAAGAATGTAATACTAGACATTTCCAACTGTTTTTCCCATATGGTGCAAATCTTAGGCCTCATACACGCTAGGTGTTCTATCAGTGAGCAATATAATCAGCTTCTACACGTTTCTAACTCTTAATATTACTACTTACATATTACTCTACCTCTGCCAAACAAACATTTAGCTAGCTCATAAATGTTTGCAAGTTTTACATTCATTTTGAATCATGATACCAATAAATATTAAGTGCTCATTCTCAGTAACAAACAGAAACAGGTATAGAGGGGACTCCAGTGGAATTAAGAAACTCATGAAGACTATGAAGGAAATAAGGAGGCTCATATATGAGCCTAAGACATGTAATTACTGAATAAATGTAAGGAGTTATGCTAGGAAACATAATTAAGGTTTTAGAGTAATAAAAAAGTTAATATTAGAAACGAGTTTGTGAGTAACATTGTGAGTTACACAACTACCTTCTTTACAACTTTATAAGATACACTACTCTCATTTTAGAAGTGAAAGAACCAGTGGGTTCACAAGGCATTTACTTAAGGAAGTGAGTGAAACAGGATTCAAGAACAGATGCTATTAAATAAGTATTCAGATATATATTTTATTCTGTATATATCTGTGCATTGTATACCAAGCACTGTTCTAGAGAAGAGGGCCAAGTTCCTGACTTTACAGAACTAATCCAGTGGGGGAGACCATCAAATAATCAATGAATAATATATACTACATTGCCAGACTGAAATAGTGCTAAAATGAAAAAGAATAAGGGGACTAGAATATAAAAAACAGGCACAGATTAATTAGGCCTTTCTTTTTTTTTAAATAAGTTTTTTTAATGTGTTTAGGCCTTTCGAAACACAGAACAAATTTAAAATCATAAATCTCATGAAGTCCAGAGAAAATAGAAACTTCCATATAAAAGTTTCAGGATGTCTTGAGAGAAAAGGAAACAAACTGTACAGACAGTAATAGGAAAGCAAGAAAGAACATGTCTACTATACTGACTTTATCAAAAGATTATCTAAATCAAAAGGCTTTAAACAGAACCCAGTAATCTACACAGTAGCAAACAAGTGATAAGTACTCTCAAGACTTCCATTCATCTAAGACAGATGATAATCTTTTCTCCATAACAGAGTACCTTCTATATTTGAAGCACTGTCCTAGGCAGTAGAAAATTACCAATAAACAGGGGCTGGGAAGATGGCTCAGTGGAAGAGCGCTTGCCTTGCATGCCTGAGGCCCTGGGTTCGATTCCTCAGCACCACATAAGCAAAAAGAAAAAAGCCGGAAGTGGCGCTGTGGCTCAAGTGGTAGAGCGTTAGCCTTGAGCTGAAGAGCTGAGGGACAGCGCCCAGGCCCAGAGTTCAGGCCCCACAACCAGACCCAAAAAAAAAAAAAGAAAATTACCAATAAACAAAACAGAATTCTGTCCTCTTGTTGCCAGTATTCTCAAAATAAGAAGACAATATATTTTCAGTGGTAATAAGTTCTATGGAGAAGATGAAACAGAAAACAAGAAGAAAATACATTTTAGAGACGGTGTCCAGAGTCCTTTCATTTCTCTTGAGGAGACCTGAATGAGTTAAGAAGACAAGACTACCAAGATCTGGAAGGAAAGAAGATGCAAGATAGAATTATCAAGGCTCTGATTTTGTGAAAACACAAAATCAAGACTGAAGTACCAAATTAAGACTGCAGACTCAGTGGCTATGGCGGTAGATGTCAGTATTCCCAGCATTTAGAAGACTCAGGCCAGAAATTCACAAGTTTGAGACCAGCCTGGATTATACAATAAATGTGAGGCCAACCAGGTTGTACAGAGAGACCTTGTCTCAAAACAAAAAACAACAAAAAAGACTCTGAAATCACCTTCACCTAGGGTGACCCGGAACAAGTTCTTTATCCTCTTATCCTGTGACTCTCATTTTCCTCATCTGTAAAATGAGGACAAAGTTGTCAAGAGGACTAGAGAAAATTTAAATATAATGCATGGCATTTGGCAAGAATTCAGTAACAGCATTGCTTACTGTTTTTTTAATTTTAAAAATTCCCCTAGACAAAGAGTCTACTGCGTCTGCTTTTATGGAAGGATACTTTCATCTACAAACAAATCTGGCAGGCCTCTTTATTTTTAAAACTTAACTCCCTACCATTTCTCCTTTTTTTAAATCACCACTCTCATCCCTATTTCTTAAGAGAATAGATTTGAATTCTGTTGAAGAACACTTCTTTTGGTTTTCACACTGTTCTACTAAATCAGCATGTTTAAATAGAAATACTGAGATGATTTCATGAATTATGGTAATGCTTTACAAAACTACTCCCATATAAATTATAGTACTTATGTAAATTATTTTGCCTGATTTAGAATCTAAAATTTAAAGTAATAAATTTAATAATCATAACATTAAATACACAGATTATACCTCGGAGGTCTCTAAGTAACCATTAGCAGTTATTCCTTTTTTATCATGATGCAATCCTTAGCCAGTAGTCAAACCTTTAGTAGTTTAACCAGTACAAGATGACCATGTATCAAGATCAAGAACAAAAGTTCTTCTTTCAGCATATGGGCATCTTTAAAAGCCAAATGTTTAAGTGATATTAACAGTGATTGATCTAACAAGGTCTTTGCTTTTTTCTGGTAACAGTCTGAGATTATAGCAGAAAGCTAATGCAAAAGGACAGGAAAATTCTTTTTTCTTTTTCTTTTTTTTTTATTGCCTGTCTTAGGGCATGAACTCATGGCCTGAGTGCTGTCCCTGAGCCTCTTTGTGCTTGCGGCTAGCATTCTACCATTTGAGCCACAGTGGCAGTTCCAGCTGTTTCTTAGTAGTTTATTGGAGATAAGAGTCTCACAGACTTTTCTGCCCAGGCTGGCTTCAAACCACGATCCCCAGATCTCAGCTTCCTGAGTAGCTAGGATCACAGGCATGCGCCACTGCACCTGGCTAGGAAGATTCTTAATATAACAGAAGAAAAAAAACCAAGAAACAAAGCAGAATCCCTGCAAAGGAAATGGGAATCTTTATGTAAAGATGGCCTTATACAATTCTTAGAAAAAGAGTAATAGTAATTATGAATGTTTAACGATGGTTTGATTAATATGTTATTAAGAAAAATTCAACTTTCAGAGTATTCAGGTTAATAAGGTGAGAAGTGCCTTCTTTTGCTCCCTCTCTCTCATGTAGTTCCAGTAAAATATACCAACAATTTAGAGTGTAAATTTCATGCATCAGAAAATTCTTGTATCCTCATGAAGCCGAGTTCTGCAATCTAAACAAACTTCATGACACCATGCCTTAATCACCAAATGTTTCCTTCTCTTTAGTCAAGACATATGAATAAACCTGGAAAGACACTGTTGCCTAGGACAGTACTTATTATATATTTATAGCTTCCCAACACTGTCCTAAGAAATTGCTTCTTAAAGCAATCATCAGTCACTTTTTGTTTCAAGCTCAAACACTCTAAGATGGATTATGCTAGCAGTAGCATTTTAGAAAGTCCACTATGACAAACTTTAAATCTTGACTACTGAAGTGATAATAAAGATGAAAGCTCTCTGGATCATTTGCAAAATTTTAAATTCTGCATAGACCTGATTAAAATACTTCAGTGTAAGGTTTTTAAAACAGCATCTAAATAAAATGTAATACTTACCACTGATCCAAAATGTAATTTCTAATTTTCAAGTAACGTTCTGGTGTTTTAGCTTGTCGCCCCTCAAAAAACTCAGGAATTGCTTGTTTTTCTTCTTCTTGAATGACATTTCTATCTATTTCTACTTCTTGTTCTGGTGGCTTAAGCTCTTCTTCCTCATGGCTTTCTTCCATCATTTGGCAAGGAGAATGAAAAAGCATTTCATTATCACTCATATCTTTCTGCCTTTCACAAGGCTCTAGAGAAACCCACTGTCTGGCATCATCTAGCATTCCATTTTCACCTTGCCCATCAAAGCTTTTAATCTGTTTATATTTCTGATTAATTAATTCAACTGAACTTTTGTCACTGTTGCTCTGTTTTCCAGTCTGTAATGCAATTTCTGAGCCTGAAAGTAGTTCCATTTCTTCTTGCTTTACACTCTGAAGATATTCCTTGGAAGATTTAGAAAAGGGACCAGACTCTGGGTGTACAAATTCTCCATGACTGGTTTCATTCCTCTTACTATCAGCAATGTCTAGTGAGAGAACACTGCTAGAATTCTGTTGTGGTGGTAGGGAAATCAATTCATCCACCTCATCTGTGATATCTACTTCTTCATCATCAGATAATGTTTCAATTTTTATAGCATTCAAGTTGGGATCAGCACGCCCCCTGAGAGATGACAGTGTCCATTCCTTTGCCCCTTTATCTTCATTTTTAACCTGTAGATTAATGTTGCTCTTCTGAGTTGACATTTCTGTCTCCAGACCCAGTTTCACCTTAAGAATCAGAATAAAATCCCCATAATATTAAGACTTTGAAATTTAATGATCCAGCACACATAACATATTAACAGATATAAAAATATTAAACTGACTACATGTTAATCATATTTAACCTGACATTATATTTTCAGTATGTTTTAAATTCAGAAATAAACCATACTTTTTCAGGTTCACTGAATGCAGTTTCAGCATAATAGTTTGTATTTTAAACCACAAAATTATCTTCAATATGTCCTATTATAGAAATATTTATCCTCTTATAGATAGAAATAACATTTTTCTACAGAGGCAATGAGTAGTTATGACCTTTTCCCCTTGGTTTGTGAATAGGTTGGTTGGGGTTGAAACGAAGGCCTCATCCATGTTAGAAGTGTGCTATATTACTGAGTTACATCTCTGCCCTTGAATATAACTTGAAATGAAAATTTTGAAGCTGGAGGTGTGGTTCGGTTTGTAGAGTGCCATCAGCAAATGAGCAAAAATGTCAGGTTCAAGTTCTAGTCCCAGTCTTGTACAGAAAGAAAGAAAGAAAGAAAGAAAGAAAGAAAGAGAGAGAGAGAGAGAAAGAAAGAAAGAAAGAACCTTTATAGTAAAGTTTCTGATAAGCCTTGTAAATGGTAGCAAGGGATATGGTATCTTTCAGTGAGAAACTATTTATAGATCCTTTACCAAATCAAGTTCTAAGATCCTATATTTGAGGTTAACTGGCTTACTTTGTAGAAAATACAACGGTAGCAGGAGGAAAAAGAAAATTAGCACCTACAACTTACAATAGGCTTTAACAACCTTCCCATTTATGTGTAGTCTCCTGTTTACAATCTTAAAATTTCAGATGAAATTTTGCTTTGGGTTCATGAAATACTAAGTCTGTTATAATACTGAAGTATATCCTCTACCCCTAATCTTTGAATATAACTGAGGACCATGGTGATAAAAATAACCAGGTAAGCTTTTATTTATTTATTTTTTATTTAATACCTCAACCTTATTTAGCTACCTTGAAACTACTTTTGGTAGTTGAAAATTGAGGTATATAATGAATCTATTCCAATACTTACCACTTATTCCTAGCTAACACCCAGATCTATCTCATATACAAGGTACAATACATTTATATTAAAACACGTTTCACTTAAGATATTCCCAAGTTTTATATAATTTTTCCTAGAACTCAAATAAAACATGTTAAAAAAAATTCCATATATCAACCAGGCAATGGTGGCTCATGCCTATAATCCTAGCTACTCAGGAGGCTAAGTTCTGAGGATCACGGTTCAAAGCCAGCACAGGCAGAAAAGTCCTCGTGAGACTTTTATCTCCAGTTAACCACTCAAAAACCAGATGTGGAACTGTGGCTCAAAGTGGTAGAGTGCTAATTTGAGTAAAAGGGCTTGAGGTCAGCACCTAGGCCCCACAGGCCCTGAATTCAAGCCCTACAACCACAAAAAAAAAAAAAAAAAATCCATAATCAAAATCACACAGCTGAGCCAGGTGTGGGTGGCTCACACCTGTAATCCTAGCTACTTAGGAGGCTGAGATCTGAGGATCATGGTTCAAAGCCAGCCTGGGCAGGAAAGTGTGAAACTCTTACCTCCAATAAACCACTAGAAAGCCAGAAGTGGCGCTGTGGCTCAAGCAGTAGAGCACTCGCCTTGAGCTGAAGAGTGCAGGGACAGCACCCAAACCCAGAGTTCAAGCGCCATGACCAACCCCCCCAATCACACAGCTGAATCAACACAAATTACTTGAAAATTACATCTTTCTAATCAATGTAATCAGCTGTATCCTTCTAATCAATGTAATTAAAGTTTTTGATTCTTAAAAAAAATTAAAAAACTTGTCATTAAATAGATTCCATTATCATATTATCAGTTATATTCTCTAAGCTCTAAAAAGTTTATTCTGAAGTTTCAATAATACATATACTTAAAAGAAAATTCTGAAGTTTCAATAATATATATATACTTTAAAAGAAAACATTTTCAGAGGAAACAGTAAGATAAGACTTCTAAGAGTTTCTCTTTGGAAGATTATTTGCTGTATAGGATGCCATTGACCACTTATTTGTTTGGCTGATAAAATTTCAACAATAGGCTTTAAATGCTTATATTAAATAAATATTTCCACTCATCATTTTATCTTAAATATTACTGTAATTAAGTAGGCTATTTCTATTCTGCTTACCTTCTTTTTAAAGTACTGTCTGGCATAACTCTTCACTTGTAAAACAGTACGGCTTCCAATTAGCTTTGCAATTTTGGTCCACCTTCGGCCAAATTTAGCCTGTGATATCAAAATGGAAAAATACTCTTTTCAGTTAGCTCACTTATATTTCAAGCAACTGCCACATTTCAAAAAACAACAAATGAAAAATTCATCTTATCTATTTTCTAAAGCAAAAAATGAAACCCCATCAACAGATTCAGCTTTTAAAATCAAAGCTTACCTTCTTCATTGAACTTTGAATTCTAAAAATTGAACAAAATGACTCACAATACCTTTCTGTATGAATTCATACTAAACATTATAAAGTTCTAGATATAAGATATCTTCTTAAAAGAAACAAGTGCCTAAGAGAGAAGTAGATTACATTTTCAACTTGTAGGATTAACTGAATATGATGTGCACTAATTACAATTGTTCTACTCAGATTCTATTCATATCTCAATATTATCCACAGAATGTCCCACAGTAGATACTCCTATATACGCTAATATCACAGTGAGTTGACTCAGAAATAGAGCAGAATTGTTATCAGTATCTTCCTTTCAATGTACCTCCTAACACCTGAAACTGTTGAGGAAGAACAGAGAACATGGCAGGGGTCCCATTTAGTTCTGAACTATAAAAGTCACCTTTGCAATTTTAGAGATGACTAACTTACTGAAGAATTAATTCTCTTTATCATGAGGTAAACGAAGTAAGTAAGAGGACAGCATGAAACACTTTTGAAGACAAGAGTAACTGCGTAAATATGATCACTTGGGATGATAGGGGCATAGTCACAAAGAAAATGGGAGGAACAGAGTAAAAAAAAAAACTTTCCAAAATGTTTAACAGAGTAAAAAGATAGCCCTATGCCAAACAAAAAGAAGAAATTCCCTTCAGAAAGATTCAGTCTTTAAGCAAACTTTATCAATGGGCTAAGGTAGAAGGATGTATTATCAGTAATTCAGAGGATTTTGTGTGTAAGAAAATATTTTAAAATACCTTCCTGTACATATATTTCTACTTATCTCTGTGTAAATAAATTCCCATTTGTTTATATATGGATAACGTATCTTTGGAAGGATACAGGAAGAAGAGGGCACAGTTTACCTCAAAATTGAGGGAGCCTTAACATCTGGTAACTTTCGGTAGTCATCTGAACTTTATTTGTTGTTGTTGTTGTTTTTGTCAGTCATGGACTTGAACTCTGGGCCTGGGTGCTATCCCTCAGCTCGTCAGCTCAAGGCTAGTGCTCTACCACTTGAGCCACAGCACCACTTCCTCATCTGAACTTTGAACATGTAAATTAAGTCTCTTCAACTACCACCAATATCAACAACAATCAAAAACCCTAAATTCATAAGCCACTTGTATAAAGGACATATCTATTGAAATAAGACTACAGATCTCATGCAAAATTGTTAGAAAACTTAAATAAAAGATTGGTAAAGTTAAACTACCATGCAATGTATTAAAGTGTTGATACAAAAAGTGTCAAGAGCACAGAAAAAAAATTTCAAACAGATTAAAAACTTGAAAATAGATTCTGTTTTTACATAAGAACATCATGGAGTATACATATCATAGTCTTAAAATGCATTTTATTTCTCATTCATAAAAATGTTAATATTTAGCCGGGCGCCGGTGGCTCATGCCTGTAATCCTAACTACTGAGGAGGCTGAGATCTGAGGATCACGGTTCAAAGCCCGGGCAAGGAAAGTCCGTGAGACTCTTATCTCCAATAAACCACCAGAAAACCAGAAGTGGTACTGTGGCTCAAGTGCAGTGCTCGCCTTGAGATGAAGAGCTGAGGGACAGCGCCCAAGCCCAGAATTCAAGCCTCATGTTCGACAAAAAAAAAGTTAATATTTTAATTTGCATTCCAAATCTATAATTATGCTCTCTATATAATACATAAATATAATCTCAAAATTAGCAAAATACTGAGTAACATACAGCTAAAGTATACAATGCAGTCTTGATAGTTTAAAAAATATTAATGATAGTTTAAAAAAATGAAACTAGGCATGATGGCTAATAACTGTTATTCTACCTATTCAGGGAAAAAAGATCTAGAGGAACTATACTTGAGACCAATCCTGCCAAAAATTTAGCAAGATCCCATTTCAACCAATAGAGGGTGTAGTAGCACGCACTTGTCATTCAGGTGCATCAAAATAAATAAATAAATGGGAAGGTCAAGGTGCAGGCTAGCCCAGGCAAAAATGTGAGACCCTATCTCAAAAATAACTAAAGCATCATCAGCAAAGCACCTGTCTAGAAAGTACAAAGCCCTGAGTTAAAACCTCAGTATCACCAAAAAGAAAAAAAGATCTGAATATTTTGCTAAAGATTTCTTTCAGAGTCAGGAGTATTTTCAGAATTAGAACACCATGTTTCCCCCCCTTATATGACTTCTGTATATTTAAAAAGATCTCAGTGAGACACATACAGTAAAGAAAAGTTACTGGTCTTCAAACATGTGTAGTCAAATACATGGACAACATTATCCCAAACAATCGGAAGAAAAAAGAACTCAGCTGACCACTCAGTTTCAAATACACAGGTTATTACTTGGTTTTGTTCTGTTTTCAGAGAAAACAACTAAATATTTAATAGTTTTAGTTCAGGTACTTTTATTTCAGGTGTCATATAAAGCAACAGCCAATTTCTCAGATTTTTATCACTACCAAAAATATGTAACTATCCAATTTTAGTGCCTTGGAAATAGGTGAAAAAGAATTTTCTTGTACTTACACTATAATTGTGAAAAATGAAAGGTAAGAGTAATAGTAATTACAAGCTTGGTCTCTACAAATAAATTTAATCTTACAACTGTACCAATATTTGCTTCTAGAATCATTTTACTATAAATTAAAAATTGCTCTATTTACCAGCCCTTGTTCAAACAGTTCTTTTTCTTCTATCGTCCACTTTACTGAGTAACTGGCTGGTTTTGTAGGAGAGTGTACCCTGAGGGGAAAAAGAGGAATTGCAAAAAAATTTTCTGAAATGGAACATTCCATATTTATGCAACTAAAGGTTATAGATAGCCATGGGCTAAAATCAATATTTTTTTGAGTCTGTGAATTAAAAAAAATAAAACAAAAAAAAAATGCTGCAGCCTCTACCCAGGGGAATAGATTTACCCTGTTACATATCTCTACTCACGATGATAGGAACCCCCAAAATATATGATTTGAGTCAAGATAACACTAAAAACCATCCAAGGAAGTCAAGGGGTAACAGAGACATGTAAGTTTAAAATGGTTCTACAAATAACTCTTTGGTTCATCTGTATAAATTACATAAATACTGAGCCAGAAAAGAAGTCAGAACTATGACATTACATTTATTTTTTTTGTAAGTTAGTGTTTCAAGCAATGAACAATCATTAAAAAAAAAAAATCACCATTTACCTTTCCATTCACTTTGTTTATTCAGCAAAATGTAAATGCCAAAGGCTGCTCCTGAGCACTTAGAAATCTACCCTTAAATAGACCATAAACTTGCAAGTCTACAAACTGTAAATAATGTCAAATTTTATCCAGTTATAAAGATATTTTAAAACAGTTAATTTCTGTAAATAATTTTGTGCATGTGCGTGTGCTGGTCATAGGACTTAAAATCAGGACCTGAGCTCCTTTGCTCAAGACTGGCACTCTACCACTTGAGCCCCATCTCCACTTGTGGCCTTTTGGTGGTTAACTGGAGGTAAGAGTCTCACAGACTTTCCTGGCTTTGCACTGTATTCCTCAGCCTCCTGAGTAGCAAGGAATACAGGTATCAGCCACCAGCACTTGGCAACTTCTGTGGGTAACTTTTAAGAGCCACAAATCAAAGTTAATTTTGTTGAAAATTTAAAATTAGCTGATAGAGCAATAGGAATCAAGCCAATTCATATTAGGTAGGCGCTTCTAATAATGTTTCCCTATAGCTCTAGTCATCTTTTCTGTAATATGAACTCCCTATAAAAGGTCATTAAAAGAATTTGGCAAATAAACAACATAAAATTATGCATTCCAACTTCTGTACAAAACTTTGTTTTTACATTTGTTTTTCAATAAAGAGCACCTTTCCTCTAGCCAATTATAAATTTAAAAAAATTCTCTCAAAAACTCTAACCAAGCAAAAAGGTTTAAAAATATAAAACAAATACATACATGATTTTTGCTGTTTTCTGCAGACTGCACGACATGTAAAAAGAAAAATAAGGAAGCCTGTGAAAAAGTTTCTAAAAATACAACTCATATTTTTAATAGTATTATAAATTGATTTTTTACCTGTTCATGTATTTTTTATCATCTTCCTTTTGATCAAGCCAGAATTTTCCTGGATGTGATTTTTTTGATAAATAATATCTATATAATTATTAAAGAAATTTAAAAATTGTTATTGGTGATAATGCCCTTATGTGATTTATAAAATGGGCATTCCCAGACTCAGAGTTCAGTAAAAATTAATATTTAAGTCTACCAAGAAATTTCTTCTCAAAGTTCTTCAAAGGAGCCTACTATATAATACTGTTACATTAGTCTGAGACACTAATCATTTAGCAAATATTTACTGTTTATTATATTATGCATTACAAGTAACTGTATTGAGGACAAAATTATAAAAAAAAAAAAACACCATCCTAGTCTTCTATGCTTCTACTAAGTAACTGATTATGTATCTCTTATGCTTATATGTAACTAAATATTTATATAACCCTTATTCTATTTGCTTCCATATCTGAAAAGGAACAAGTGGCTACTAGCCAGCCACACGTGTGACTTCTGAGCATTTGAAAATTGGCTTGCATGAACTAAGATGTAATATACAAATAAAATACACATTGGGTTTCAAATACTTAGTATGAAACAAAGACTGAAACATTCCACTAATATGGACAAATATTGAAACAAGAGTATTAAAATTAAATATGCATTATATAACTAAAATTAATTTTGCTTATTTTAAGTGAAACTACTAGGAAAATTTATAATACTTATGCTTCTTGTTGAAAAGCAATAATCTAGATTATAACTGCAATGTTTAGGGAAAGTTAGCAAACAAGAAAACACAAAAGGGGATAACCTACAATAATTAAAGTTACAGATTCTAAAATTTACAGCAACAAATAGGAACAGGAAGAACAGAAATTATGGCTTACTGAGTAGAAATCTATGAAATGCAAACAGAAGAGTTAAAAATAAATCTGTATTTATTAGACTATCGCCAAAAATTCAATTGTTTTGTTCATTCCTTTCATCATACTTGTAAGAAAACCAAGTCCCAAGAAGTTAATTACAAACAGCAAGCACAGATGAAGGAAATCCCAAGAAGCAGCAAAATGGCTGGACCTTAGGGAAGTATTCACAAATTTGGAAGAAAAATGTTCATTCTGCTATATATGTTTTGTGTCTTTTACTTAAGTTTCTTCCCCCCAAAAAGTTATAAATTGTAAGAATTGAGAATCAGTTGAGAATTTTGCAAATTCTAATTCTGTGTCCTTGGGCAAATGGACATATTTGAGTTTTAGCTTATATAACTAAGAATGAAACTGTGGACTTAGGTTCTAACTTAAATATTCTCTAATTTCTCCTCAGTATTCTTATATCATAAAGAGTTGGCTGAAAAGATGAACTAGTAGTAAAGCAGAACCTGAAGAATACAATGGTGTGTTCTGTATCAGGAGGTAATGTGATAACAGGAGTATGCAGCTAAATAAAACTCATCTAGTAATTACAGTGATCTATTTCTATAACTTTTGCACTGATTTTTTTTTTTGGTCGGTCATGGGGCTTGAACTCTGAGCCTGGATGTTATCCCTACGCTCTTTAGCTCAAAGCCAGTGCTTTACCACTTGAGCCACAGCACCACTTCCTGACAGATTTTTTTTTTTAACCTTGAAACTTTTACTTTCTTCATAATCATTAAAGGATACTCTTCTTCCAACAACATTTTCTCAATTACAGCTTTGTTCTCTTCACTGATAGTGGTATCCAGAGTCCAAGGCTATTAAAAAAAAGTTTTATTAAATTTATTAATTTGTTTTGTTAAGTAAAATACATAATTATATAATAACAAATATTAACAGCCTGTACCTTTGATTCTCACAATAACATTATGACATAGGCATTAACATTTCATATACACATCCATCTCCCTGCTAGCATTTCCAATGAAAGAGATCTGACTTAGAGGCATATATTCTGGATTCCAGGGTTCATGCTCCTAACCCATGACAGGGTAAAATGGCTGGTATCATGTACAAAAGAACATGATATCAGACATTCTACTAAACACTTAACCTAGTTCCAAAACTCAATACTTGTGTCCCTCAGCAACAATCTCTATAGATCATCCACAAGATGGATGGATCCTATTGATCCATCTATGGATCAACTCTCAAGGTTACATATTTTCAGCTCATAGTGCTTTTCCAAGCTCTCCACTATTTTATCAACTAATCATTTGAAATTTCCACTTAAATATATAATTGGCTTCTCAAAGTTAACATAACAGATCTCATTATCAGGTCTCCATCTACTTCTTCCCCAGCATTTCCAATTTAGCAAAATATATTAATAGTCACTAAGTGAATCTACAAAGATAGAATTGTGTTTTTCCTTTACCTCAATTCTGATATCCAATCTAACATAAAGCTCTACTTCTAAAATATAATTCAAATCTATCCGTTTTATCTTTTCTGCTACCAACCAAGACAAAGATTACTATGTTTCCTAAAGGGTACTTATAATTTTATTTCTGCTTCCCTCCCTTCTAATATTTATTCATTGAGCAAGCAAGATAAATGTTATAAAAATGAGCTTACATCTGTACTAAAAATATTTATGAAATGTATCAATGCTTTAGTTCACTTATAAAAAATTAAAATGCTTTGGCATGATCTAAACCATAGGCAGAGATCTTACATTACTTTTCAACTTTGTCACTGTCTTTTTCTACCACATTCTACACAGAGATTAGATTTCTTTCAACCACAGCTGTTCCATTTGCTCTTTATTCTGCTTCGGATTTTATTTCTCATCCATTCACATATCTACCTAGTCTTCCCATGACTTTAAACTTAAATACTTCCTCAACATTTTCTTCATTCACAGCTTTATCTTAATTATCCTCCTACACTGAGTATTCTGTCAATACTTTGATTTTTTTTTTCCTTCATAAACTGTAGTAGGGTTTTTCATCTGACTTTTCTTTAGAATAAAAGCTCCTTGAAAGAAGGGCCATGTCTATCTTGATTATAATTGTATTCTCTAAACCTGGCCCAGTGTCTGGCACATGGTAAGTATTCAGTAAATAATTGTGAAATAACAAAAACATTCTGTGGTATTACCTATTTCTTAAATTGAAGAAACCAAGACTCACAAACTTGAGAAGTGGTAACAATTTGTACCTAACTCCACCTGACTCCAAATAGCCTCTAACAGACCGTTTTTTAGTTAAGAAAGACAGTTCTCATATTTTCAAAGTGAAGTACTGCTTCTGTAATTTTTGAGAACAAGAACTTGGGCAATGAATAATATTTAACAAAATACTTACAATAAGGCCATTCTCATTTCTCCATGAATCAAGATAGTGATCAGCTTGTAAAACTGATGCTTCATTTCCATCATTTCTGTAATAATTAAGGAGTAAAAAATTATAATGTCTTAGTAAATGGCTTTAACTTATATAGCAAAGAAACTAGCCAGCTGTTCATGTTAAGAAAATAGTTCCACACTCTCCTCAGCAGACTTAATACTACAGAAACACCCACTTTACTTTTACTCTCTGAGGAAAAAAATAACCTAAATGAACCAAAAATCCAGATTTATCTGTGTGCGGGGAGGGGTATGTGTGTGTATAAATTCATTCAACGTTATTAAATTCTTTAGTTGTATCTAAGCCATAACATCTATTTCCAATACCACCCCAAAATGAAGGAAAAAATGAAATTAGAAGAATCAAAATAGAAAGTAATAAAGGAAGTCTTAATATCATCTCATAAAATTTTTTAAATAATTTGGGTTATTTGGAGGATTCCTATGTTCATGGAAAATCAATCTTAGTTATTTCTCTCACTCATTTTATTGAACTAATACATGACAATGTACACTTCATATGAAAAAAAGGTTTAATAGTTAAGTTTTAGGGGTCCCTATCTATGACATAATTTAGCATTTTACTTTTGCCTGTATGAAACTACAGTTTCTGAATCAAATTACTGAGTATTTTTTCCTCAGAACTAAAATTTTGGAGTTCTAAAAGACCAAAAACTTATCAATTAACATATATACTTTACCTTTAATTAGACCTATAATGGTTACAACAGACTGAGGGGCTAACAGGTATTCTCTACCATCAACTGAAAGCAGTAGTGTCTTTCAACTGTTTATAGCACACAAGTTTTAACACATGTCAAATCTAATCTAGACAAGGTTAAATACAGGTTATAAGACATATTAGCAGAAGGAAAGCATTGCAGAAATAACTAAGTCTTCCAAGAGTATAGGAGGTGGGACTCGTACCATATCACATTCATTGCAGAAATCTTTTCATTACTATTCCTTAGTAAGGATCAGCAACATCCACACTCTGATATATACATATGGACACCAATCTGAATCTTTATAGGTACCACAAGTTAACAGGTTTAAACCTAAATCACCTTTCCTTCCAAATCTAGTATTCTTCCATTGTTATGAAAGTTGTCTTAGCCAATGACACTTCTATTTTTTTCATTGCCCCAGCCAGAAATATTATAAGCCTGAAATATAAGCCTCCTTCATAACCCACAGTCTGTTGCCAATAATATTGTCATTTTTTCCAAAGCAATCCTATGGTATATCCATACTTAGCAATGAGGTCCCATAATTTCAGGTCTTAAGTGTTTTCCTGGACAAGTATAAGCAATAAAGACAAGCCATTCATCTTCCTTCCATTTACCTCCATCTGACATACATAGTTTATATGTGCTTTTTTCAACAAGAAATTACTTCTGAACATGGCTTTTTATAACTGTTACATGCTCAGGGCTTGGACTATAGAAGGTACTCCATCAACATTTGTTAAATGAGCAAAGAAGATGGATATGGACCACGAAGGTCTTCTGTAGGTAGGTAATGAAGAATTTTATGACAAAACCAATTGGAGAATGAAGGGAATATCATGATCAGATTTGCATGCAGGAAAGACTATCTTCAGGAAATAATAAAAGGGGCCAAGGAGTAATAAATAGTGATTAAGGTGAGAAAAGTGCTAGTAACCTATATCTAAAGAATAATCTTTGCCATTAGCTGCTTAAAAAAAGAATAATCAGTGTAACCAAGAGGAGTGAATACATATAAGAGAATAGTTAGAATGAGCAAGCCCTTAATAACTGATAAAATGCAGGAAATGGAAGTTAGGAAAAAGACTGAAGTTCAGGTTTGTTCTCTGGGTGACTGGATGTTGGTGCTACTCACTGAACATTAGAAAGGCAGGTTGGGAATGTTTGTAAATTGAGACTCAGGTACTTGTGAGATACCCAAATGCAGATAGATTCAAAGAGTTAGGCAAATGAGTCTGAAGCTTAGGACAAAGATTTGGTTGATAAGAGATTTTGGAAATATCAAGTATTAGGTTGAACTTAGATAACTGACATTTTTGTAGGTCAGAATGGTAGGATATTGGCAATACTGCAGCAGTGATAAAATTTCAGATAGAAATTAAGTCTGAAGAGATCCAGGGCTATGTGTACGTAGTTCTATGACAAAACCTCTTCAATCTCATGACTTAAACAACAAGAAAAGATGAGATGAAATGGTAGAAGGAAGGTAAAATGCTATCTTTTAACTTTGGTACCTTACACTTAGCAAGACCTTACAAGTAGTATGTTCTCAATTCTCAAGAGGTCCACAAATGTTCTGTTGTGCTGTATCAACACACCTCAAAGGGCATAAATCAAACTCAATCACTTATTGTAGATCCAACACTATGAGGCATCATTTGCCAGAACATAATGAAAATGCTGCTCCTTGAAATTGTATAAACAAGGCTCTGACTATCAGAAACCGATTATTTGTAATTTCACTTTATGACATCAACACTACCTAATGCTCAATATGAAAAAAGAAAGAAAAACTACAGTCAGAAAAGTTACAATAGACTTATGGAAGCAGCATATAGTCAATGCCATCAGGTGATCATCATTGTCTCCAAGACAAATTCACTTCTTTATAGACTAAATGATACATTCCTGACTACTTATCTCACTGACTTGTGAAAATTATATCAAACATGCAAAAAAATACTTAAGATTCAAAAGCTATTTTAAAAATATGAACATTAGGGGGCTGGGAAGGTGGCTCAGTGGTAGAGCGCTTGCCTTGCATGCATGAGGCCCTGAGTTCGATTCCTCAGCACCACATAACCAGAAAAAAAAAAGCCGGAAGTGGCGCTATGGCTCAAGTGGTAGAGTGCTAGTCTTGAGCTGAAGAGCTGAGGGACAGCGCTCAGGCCCAGAGTTCAGGCCCATGACCGGACCGAAGGAAAAAAAAAAAAATTATTATTATGAAAGGTTCCTTATTGATCTGCACAACTTTGGATGACTTTATCTAAAGACTCAAATGACTATGCAAAGTTAATTATCCCTCACTTATTTTTTATAGTGCTTTAACAGTTTACTTGAGCAAACCGTCCAGAATGGCTTTTTGACAGTTAACTGGAGATAAAGAGTCACAAGGCCTTTTCTGCCAAGGCTGGCATCAAACAATGACCCTCAGGTCATAGTTCCCTGAGTAGCTAGGATTACAGGTATGAGCCACCAGGCAGAGAGAGAATTCATCGTTTTTCCTTAATGCTTCATGGTTAGGTCTGATATGTAATATTGCCAAGTTACAGGTAAAAAATAATCTAGTATTAGGAACTTCATAAAGTTCAACTTAATGTTATTGACAGTTACAAGTAACTTTACACAACACTTAGAACTCAGGTCTTGAGAGTTCTAGACCTCTTCCAAAAGGAGACAAATTCCTTACTCAAAAAGAAAGGAGTCTGAGGAGGTTCTATTTAAAATAACAGGCCCCGGAAGGAAGGGTGAGGAAATGTAGTTAATTATATTCAACATGCATCTTGTAAAAACTGAACTAGTAACTTGACGGTAAAGGTGGGGGTGGGGGGTGGGGTGATGAGGAGATGGTGGAGGGAATGACACTGATACAGAATTATCACCCACAACCTGACTTATGGAACTGAAATCCCTGTACAACTACAGTCCTGCAGGACTGTCTTCCGTGATTTCACTTGAGCTAGCCAACATCCTTGTGAGATTCCCGTGCTATTTTTCCGTTTACACCTGAGCGCTGTGGGACTCGGACAGACCGTGCGCCTGTCACTCGGGGAAGCAGTAGGGCCAGCAAAGACAGAAGGAAGACCTCCAACTGTTCCCCTCTGAAGTCTGACCCCCTTCACGTCGGTCACCACGCGCCTCCCGCGGCAGGAGCGAATGCCATGACGGGCCCGCGGGGGCTGGAGCTCGCGAGGGGCGGCAGGAGGGGCCCCGCGCTTCGGGCCCGCCGGTGAGGCGCCTGGTGCTGGTTACTGTCCGGTGGGTTCTGCGATGGAGCGGACGTGAAAGGAACCGACTCGAGCTCCCACTGCAGGCGGCAAAAGGCGAGGAGCCGCCCTCAGGGGCCCCGGGCCCGCGCGCCGGGCTCCGGGACGCCGGCGGCCGCGATGCCCGCGGCCGCGATGCCCGGGCCACTTCCGGGCCCGGCCCCAGGCCCCGCCGACGGCCCCGGGAACACCTGCGACGATCCCAGGACCCCTGCTCACCCCTGGCGGCTCTCCCGGCCCCTGCGTCCCTCCGCGCCCCGGCCTGACCCAGTCACTACGCCTCACCCGGGGTGTCCGGCTGCCACCACGTCCCCTTCGACATCCACATCCGCCTCTTCTGCCGCCATGATGGCTCCTGACCCCGCCCGTGCTCCCGAGAGATCTCGCGAGAGATCAAGAGGCTGGAGGCGAGACCGGATGTATCTCGAGACGAGAAGCTGAGCCTGCTCGGGCCCCAGCCAGGGAGGCGGGACTTCCAGTGGACATCCCGCCCCCCGCCCCCAGGGGCCAGTGTTGGTTATTTTGAATTGGTCGGCCTGGGAAAACTTAGGAAAGCGGCCCTGTCTGGACTTCTTAAGCGTATGTTGTTGAGCAAATACTTTTCTCTTGTGTAAAATGTAGAAAAACAGCAAATGGCTTTCTAGATCAAAAGTCATGCCAGATCTGCTGTCCTGAACTGTGCAGGTGGCAGACTGAAAAGTCACTCTGTGTCTCAGCCTCCGTCTCTAACTCTGTGCCTCTGCCTCTCTCTCTAACTCTGGATCTCCGCCTCTTTCAACAGTCTTAAACATTGATGTGAGGATAAGAAGTTAACTTGTAATTTTTATAGAGATCCTTAGAATTTAAAAATCACTTTCATAGCTGGCCGCTAGTGGCTCACACCTGTAATCTTAGCTACTCAGGAGGCTGAGATCAGAGGATCGTGGTTCAAAGCCAGCCCAGGCAGGAAAGTCTATGAATCTCTTTATCTCCAATTAACTACCAGAAAACTGGGAAGTGGCGCTGTGGCTCAAAGTGGTAGCTAGCCTTGAGCCAAAGAGCTCAAAGACAGGGCCCAGAGCCAGAGTTCAAGTCCCATGGCCAACAACAAAATAAAACACAACTTTCATGACCATGAACCCTTACAATAATGCCCTAGTAAGGTAGGTACATATGAGTTATATTTCACAGGTAAGAAAACTGAGGCTCAGAAAGTTGACAGAGCTAAGATTGCATGCCTTTTTGACTGGTGAGTAATACCATCATATCTGCCAAAAAATGTGTGCTTTTCAAGAAATTAGACATTGCCTTTTACTATACTTCTACCTTAGCATATGTCATTTGCATTGTAATCCTTGCTTCACCTGTCTGCCTCCTCCATTGGCTTGGGAATGCCTGAAAGACAAACCTAGTTCTTATATGACCATTCAACATGGTGTCTAACAAATAATAAGTTCTTAATAAACACCCATCAGGTAAATGAATGCAACAATCAACAAAATGTACCTACTTCTCACAATTTCCTGTTTGTCCCAAGTCACCTGTGTTCCCAGGGGAGTACTATGAATATTGTAGCAGAAGATGGAGAGCAAGATTTGAAAAGAGAGAGAGCCAGTATTCAGAAACTGAACGCTGTATGAACTCCATTGTCAGACCACCTGGAGAAGCGTGCTTTCTATTGTTAAAGGGTTTATCCAATGACCACTCCCAATAGTAACCCCAAACAGCATAAAGAAGGCATTTTAAGCTGCTTGTCAAATTTAATTTAGAGCAAGGATTTATTTGTTGTGCTTGGCTGAACAGTTAAAAGAAGAGAAAAATGGATATGCCTTTCACTGATTTTATATAGCAATAGAGATTGGGACCATGACAGGACTATCTAAATATATATCACATTAAATGAGAAGAGCACCTCCTAGAAGAATAATTCAAAATAAAATGTGTACGGTGTCTCCTGCAATGCTGTAATAAATGTTTCTCTGTCCATCGCATCAGTAGACATTGAAATATACGTGGAAGAAAGTAAAGTCCTGTGCCACATCCAAAAAGCTAACCACTTGTGGTTTCTTAAAGTTAACAAGAGGAGTTGTGGAGTTACCAACAGACATAAATCTGGCAAGCAATGGAGCAGAAATTCAAACCAAAATTAACTTCAGCGGTGGTATTTTTCCTATGACAAATATTTTTCCAGTGGTGAGTGTGTGTGTGTGTGTGTGTGTGTGTGTGTGTGTACATATATGTGTATTTGTCTGTCTTCAGAGTTAAAACAGGAGACAATCTCATCAGAGCAGAAATATTCAAGTAAATGGAAGATCACATAAATTTACAACTAAACTTACAAACCTAAATTCATAGTAATAAGTGCTGTCAGTTCCTTTACATGCCAGGTCTAAGGGAAAGGGAACTGGATGGACAATCACAGATTTCTGATTCTAGTATGAAGGAAGATTCTAATGTTTTCCATCTCATAAGCCAGACTCCCTATGTTATGACATGATCCTATTTTTACATTTATTTCTTTATTTCTATGACTCTAGCAGAACTGGCTTTATAGTGAGATATCAAATATTTGTTGTATATGTACCCACAAAAATCCATGATTAATGGCTTGAAGCTATTGTATTGGAAACATATCCAGTTCTTTTTGTTTTAACACCACACCCAGAGAAAAGCCAACCTTCAGATGTTGTGATTTGTCTTTTTATAAAAGAATGTACCAGACACAGTAGCTCATGCCTATGATCCCAACTACTTGGTAGGCAGAGATTGGAAAACCAATTTCTTGGCTAGCCCAGCCCCAAAGTTAGGAAAATCCTACCTTAATAAGTCGGGTATAGTGGTGTGTACCTAGCCTCCCAGCTATACTGAAGGCTGTAGGCAAGTAATTCATAGTCTAGGCCAGGCCCAGGTAAAAATTCAAGACCTAACCTGAAAAACATCTAAGCATTAAAGTGTTGAGAATGTGTTACACATAGTAGAACTCCTGCCTACCAAGTGCAAGGCCCCGAGTTCAAAACTCAGTACTGTCGATATCACACACACACACACACACACACACACACACACACACACACACACACACACACACAGAGGACAGATCACACTTTATAGCCAGTTGCAAATGGAAGTTTTAATTCTTGATGCAAGCAATCATTTGTCAGGCTGGTGGCCATATCATTCTTGACAAATTTTGAAGTCTGGCCACTCTGCACATTGAGGGGCCCAGCCAGGCTGCAGTCTTCCCACACGTGCTTCCCACTGCTGTATATGTACCATGTCCCTTCACTTTTCATTTTTCTCTTAAAGACTAAGAGCCAAAGGACCAAATTCGAATTAAGCATCTTTCTAACTCCATACCATGTTAAGCCCACGAAATATTCTAATGATTGTACATTTAGCTTTTTCTCATTAAAATGTACTTTTATTTTCAGTGCTAATTCTCTTTAAATGTGAGTGTGTGTGTGTGTGTGTGTGTGTGTGTGTGTTGTATTGGGGATCAAACCCAGGTCCTATTTCATACTATGCTCTACCACTGGGCTGTATCCCTAAATCTATAATTATATATTTAAAAAATGAATAACATATCTATAGTGCTCTGAAAGGGGAGGAAGATTACTTATGGACAGACAGGGCATATGAGGACCAATAATACCAGATCTCTTTGATATGTAAGGCAGTATCTTCTTTGAACCTACCAAGAATTCTTCCAAGAACGCATTATCACTCCTTAAGTTAAAGGGAAGGAAACTAAAAACTCAGAGAGTTATGGTTTCATGGATAATGAGTACCAGATCTGGGATTCACATGTGAGCCTTGCTGGCCCTCTATGCTTATTCCATTGTATTTTCACATTACAATGGAAAAAATAGGGTATATATATTTGCAATGCTCTGTGAGCTAATAGCATTCTATTTGGTATAAAAATAAATCACAAGTAGATGATGTTCTGGTTCTTTTGAGTTGCTGAAGTCAAGAAATGAGTAGAAAGTATATTTTAAGGATGAGAGCTTTGGCCCATGAGTTTACAAATTCCTAAATGCGGCTATCCCCTTTGTCTTGCTCTCTTCCTTTTGCTGGCCTTAAAACAAAGTTAGCGGAAGGTTCCATGCCTTTAAACCCTCACCTTTGTTGTAAGGGAACACTGAGTCAGTAACATGCATGTCTCATATTTCAGCTACATTGGTCTTGAATCCTTTGGGAGACAGCTTGCTCACTTCTTGAGTCCCTCACCCCCCATTTCTAGTGGTTTTTTATTGAAAAGACAAAGTATAATTGCAACATTAATCCATAAAAGCTGGCATGTTAGCATTCATGCTAATTAGTTCAGATTTGTAAAGTGCTTTAAAAGCAGGAAGTGTGGTACAACTGCTCCTAATGTTATCATTACTTTATGAGCTGAAACTGTCAGCTAAATGACTGCCAGGGATTCAAAAAAGTTTGCACTTTAAAAGTACAATAGCTGGTATGTAGGGAGGAAAACCACTCTATCTATGCAGAGGTGAGAGAACAGATGAATGCAGACATAGATTCATGGGCTACACTTGGCAGGAGTTGGATATGGCTTGAATTGTTCCAGGAAATCAAGCTGCATTTTATTTGCCTTGCCCTCTCCAATTCCCTGAAATCACATAAGGTAGCTACTGAAAAAGCTGTCCTCAGTATGTTGTAAGGAAAGTCTGCCAAGCCACTCTTACATTTTAATTACAGTAATGCTACATCCATCTGACATTATTTGGAAGACCAAAAAAGTGATGCCTGCATTAATGAGCTCCTACTGTGTGCCCAGGCATTTTACATATATTATTTCTTTACAGTCAGGCATCAGGCCTTTGAGATGGGAATTGTTACTCTGTTTACAGATGTGCTAACAGGCTCAGAATAGTTAAGTGGGTAGCTTGGAAATACAGCTTATCTATCATTTTGCTGTCTTAGCTTGGGGACCAATAGCATCATTCAGACTTCTCAGCCACCAGCGGAGCTCCAGGTGGGTAGGCAGAGCCAAATGTGGGTCACATGCCCACTTTGAATCAGTTCTACCAGGACTACATGGACTAAGGAAGAATGGTGCCTTTTAACCAAAGTAAGTGTAGTGTATAGTTTCAGAAAGGACTGAAAGGATGTTGGATAGGCAAAACAACAATGCCAACTGTGTTGTTCTATGTTCTAATTCCCTATTGTCCCTTTAATTGATTGGCTAGTTATTTTGGACCTCTCTTAGTACTACATTGGACAAGTTATTCAACTACTATAGATTCTCATTTCTCCATTTCTAAAATCAAAATGGTCAAATGGCATATAAAATAATCTTACCCAACAGTAAAATTCTTGAATTGATCTGCCAGACATTTATTGAACAAACAAATTGACATTTATTGATCAT